TGCTTTTCCTCGTGTGTTGTTATTCCCACGGGCACTTAGGTGCAGTTAAAACATGGCACTCGCCTTCCAAATTCCCTTGGAAGCACGGAGCAGGCATCAGGGGTGTGAGTGTTACAACAGGATCTGTGGGGTGTGACCAGTCCACCTGATCCTAGATTTAAAACTACCAGAAGCAACGTGGTTTGGACTATATCTGTACAAACTTCTAAAGAATAAACTTCCTACCAAGTGGAGCTGTTCCTGAATCTGAAGGGTGAATGACTGTGACACAGGATGCCAGCTTTACTTTAAATAAAATGTGTGTGAATATGAGTTGATTTAAGGCAAACTAACTCAGCTGGGAGCAGAAAGATGTGGCTTTACGGAGTGATCTATGGGAGATACCAACACCTTTCCCTGCTGAGCCCCAAGGAGTTTTTGCCCCTCAGTGTGTTTTTCTGGTTGTATTTTTAGCTACTTTCTAGAGTTTTTTTGCCAAGCAGTTCCTGCTGAAGGGCATAAAATAGCACTCATTACACTGGAATTTGATATGCTTGTTTTTGCAATGGTTATGGAAGATAAAAATTGGAAGGCAATAACAATTTCTGGAGATTCGCTGAGATTTTCATAGTTGGAATTGTTCCCTCTCTCTTTTTTTAACCTTCAAATTCATATTACATTTTGCTATTCCAGAAGCTTCTGAAAGTGACAAAATGTTATGTTTCAGCTGCATAAACCCATCATAGCCTTGTGCCACTGGGCAGTATCAGCCAAATATATAGTCTGGATGTTGTTGCAGTCGCTGTTGGCAGAGGAAACGTTCTTTTTCAACGAAATACAGAGGAGAAAAACCATGCCTGGCGTGTCAGCTCATGTCCTACAGCCTCTGTACCTCTTTTCCCTGCTTCCTGCCTTGCCACCTCCCACCCTTCTCCTCCCTTTGCCCCATCTGCCCGTTTCTGATTTAGACAAGAAGGGAGATGTGCTGTGACTGATTTAGAGCATGTGCTGATTTGCCAGCTGGCTGCTATCTGGGAGCTGTGGGGTCAGCCAGACAGAAGAGATAAGGGCTGAGCTGTCCTTGCCTCTTCCTCGGGCTTGGTTCACCTCTACTCATCTGCTGGAGTGTTTTCCCCATGAGATTTGCAAGATCTCAGATGTACCTAAGCTTATTATACCTTCCTTCCTCTTTTGAACAGGGAAAAACTGATCTGGTGTGTTATTAAAATGCCACTAATCACTGCTGTTGAACAGAGGAGTTTGTTGTGTTTGAATATATGATTTAATGATTCTTTTCTTTAAAGAAACAGGAGCATATTGCACATGTACTGATGGTCTCAGCTGGGACCTGCTCTCATTTTATCCATCTTTTTAAACTGTGCCTGAGATTTGTGGAGCCACCAGCACGTTTATAGGAAAGCAGATGTGTCCTGATTAAAAAGCTTGATCAGGACACACTTGCACAGTGTAAGAGGTGGTTTAAAAAGAAATGGTTACTCAGTCTTCAGTTCACCCTCAAAACAGCAGATATATTAATGGAGACACAGAAGGGTTTGAGTTGGAAGGGACCTTAAAGACCATCTTGTTCCAGCCCCCTACCATTGGCAACAACAAATAAGATAGTGTTAAATGGAGGCAGTTGTTTTAGAGCGTTCTTTCTCCCTTTTTAATTTTAGAATCAAACCAGATACATTAGACTCCCCCTGCTTCTGTTTGACATTGAGCTGAGAAGAGATAAAAGAGGGGAGTTGGCAAAAGAGAGTCCTGTCAGTCTGGATCCAGGTGAAAACAAGTAGCTGAAAACATCTCGGTGACATCCTTCAGTAGCTGAAAGATAAGTTTTCCCTTCCTGTCCTGGCTGTTTCTGCTGCACCCGAGATAGATGTGAGTTGCTGGCTGTCAGCCAAGGAGCCACAGCGAGTCCTGCCTGTCCCTCGGAATGGCAGCGTCCTTGGGGACCATCACATTCCTGAGGTACTCCTTTTCCCTCCCTGCCCCTGCAGGCACTGGTTTGGACACGGCTCTGGAGTGAGCAGCTTGCAGGGACACGACTGTTGTGACCTTTGCTGCTTTAGAACTACTCGTGGCTCTTCGCTGTTCACGACAAGTTGTCAGTGTTGGGGTTCTCTGGGGTTTCTTGCTAATGCCAGCCTTCTCCATAGGAAATCATGGAATCACAGAATGGTCTGGGGTGGAAAGGGCCTGAAAAATCGTCTCATTCCAACCCCCTGCCATGGGCAAGGGACATTTTCCACTATTCCAGGTTGCTCCAAACCCCATCCAGCCTTTCCTTGAACACTTCCAGGGATGGGGCAGCCACAGTTTCTCTGAGCAAACTGTGCCAGGGCCTCACCACCCTCACAGCCAAGAATTTCTTCCGTGTATCTAACCCAAATTTTCCCCTTTTCCATTTGAACCCATTACTGCTTGTGCTCTCACTACAGAGAGTCCCTCTCTGGCTTCCCTTGAGGCCCCTTCAGATTCTGGAAAGTTGCTCTGAGGTCTCTACACAACCTTTTCTTTTCCAGGCTGAGCAGCCCCAACTTTCTCAACCTGTCCCCATAGGGAAGGTGTCCTCAGTCCTCTTATCAACTTCGTGACCTCCTCTGGACTTGCTCCAACAGTTCCATGTCCTTCTTATGTCAGGGGCACCAGAACTGCACACAGGACTCCAGTTGGGGTCTTACAAGAGCAGAGTAGGGGGGAAGAATCACCTCCCTCTTCTTTGCAAACATTGCTGTTATCCATGTTTTGTTGTAGGAGACACTTCCCTGCTCTGTAGGTGATGCTGTTCCTGATATTTACCTTTCCATCACCTCTGAGATGGACTGTAGAGATGCACCACACTTGACCATCAACACCCAGCACTTCCAATGTGTCCTTGCAACTGAAGAGCCTGCTGTGGGTGCCCTATTTCCCTGTCTGTTCATTTCCCAAGGGATTTAGGATCAGGCTGGAAATCTTTTCATGGGTTCGTGGGCCCAGCACGCAGCTGCAGCGTTAATGGGTTGGTGTGTGCACAGCACAATGCTGTGCCATGCAGGCTGCACCCTTAATGCTTTCCTTGGGGAAACATTTGTCCCATTTATTCTCTTCATGGTCAAAAGTACACAGAACACAGCTCTGTGGAGCTGTGCTGTATCCTAAATTCTGTACTCCGGGTTTCTTAGGGCTCACGTTTGGATTAAGCGAGACCAGAGATGTGGTTTTGTGTGTTTGTGCAGCTCCAGAGAAAATGAGATACTTAGTTCAGACTAAACGCCTTAAATTAAGCTTGATGATACATAGCCCAGCATAATCCATCCTCTTAAAACTGGATATGTGATAGAACTTCTCAGATTAGATCTTTATTGCTGCTTTAACCCAAATACTCAATAATACATCCCATACCGAGGGCTGGAAAGATCAACTGCATTGTCACAGTATAATCCTGCCTTGGAATTGGGCTGGGGAATGTGAGCACAGCTGCTTGAATGAAGAGTAGAGTCATATCTCTGAGGGCTAAACCCAAACTCTGAATCCAGGCTTGTTATTCTCTTTATTTTACAACAAGAATCTTTATCCTGTAGGAATAGGAATTAGCAGGCCCTGTCAGCAGGAGCTCCCCTAAAAGCCACTTAGCAGTTTCCAGCCAAGTCCTTCAGCAGAATGCTCCATGGAGCACAGAAAGCCATAGAAATGCTCTTGAGTCTCTCTTAGAAGAATCCAGAAGGGCTCTCTGGTGTCTCCTGTGCCTGGATCAAAGCCCTGGTGGGGGAGATTCCCTCAATACACCTCCTTATCTGCGTCCCACCCAGCAGCAACAGCAACAGTCCACACCAAACCTGCTGCCAAGGACCTTGGGAGAGCTTTTATTCCAGCTGATCCAGATGGCAGGGGAAAGGGGGTCATGTTGTTATTGCTGACCCTGTGACATGGGGTGACCTTGACTGAAATAATCATCCTGCAGAGCAGGTCATGCTCTCCAAAGTCACCGTCGTTGCTGGTCTGTCACATAGATACACACAGGAGGCCCAGGCACGAGTAAAAAGAGGTGATGGGCTTAATAAATAATTATTTTTGAGAGGCAGTGATGAAATTACTATTTTTAAGCTTGCTTCTCAACCCATATGAGCAGCAAGAGTTCTGAGAGTAATCCTGTATGGCTGCCACGTCTTTCTCCTGCTCCGTTCAAAAGGAATCAGTGTTGCTTGTCACAAGACTTTACTCGTTACTGATGACAAGAGTTTCCTAATGTCACATGGAAGGTCCAAGACAAGGAAAATATCAGTGGTTTGTTGTGTGTTTACTGCTTTTTTTTCCAGTCTCTGACGTGGGGAGGCTGCATAACCTGGGTCGGGGCGCTGACTGATGCTGTGCTGTTATTTGAAAGGTCACTCCAGTGATTTTGTATTTGTTGTTCAACAACAAACAAATAAAAAACTCCCAGACTTTTAAATTCTTCACAGGACAGATGAGAGGAATTGCTGTTCTCTGCTCATTCTTTTAGGGAAGCAAATGTTTGCTCTGCTGTCCGAGCAACCGTGAGAGAGCTGAGCTGGGCAAGCCCAAGGGTTGGACTCTGAAATTTCCTCTTGAATAACACTCCTGAAGTTCCTGTTCAAGTGGTTTTGGAAATTTTTATGTTGCTTGGGTACTTTGTTTTTTAAGAGGCAGTGACACTCAGAGAGAGAGAGAGGGAGAGAGAGCTGTCACAACAAAAATAAACCTGTGAGAGAACGAGGAAGAGGTGGTGGCAGCATGAGGAAAATCAGTCGGTTTGAATTTAAAACCAACTTAGAACAGGATCTCAAATCTTGCTCCTAAAAAGATTTATAAAATGACTTGGGATCTGTAAGCAAGGAGAGATCTGAGGAGAGAAATGAACTTTTAAAATGCAGCATTCCAGTGATTAATGAAAGCATAATTAAGTTAAAATCACAACAACTAACAGACCTTGTTTCTGTTTTTTCTTTTTTTTTTTTTTTTCTTCCCCTGACCTTGTACCAAATCCTTTCTGCTCCTGATGCATTGGGGAACAGTAGGAGCCACCCAAAGGTAAGGGCTTTTATTGCAGGTTGTATCAGTGTGTGAAAATTGCCCTGTCACTTATTTATTCGTGGGTTATCCAAATATTAAAAGCATTTTGAGAACCAGCTCTGCTGTTGATCAGCTGTTGAGTAAGAAACTCGAAGCATCTCCGTGCTACAGAAAAGCTCTGAACAGCCTGTGCCAAAAAATGAGTCAGAGGAACAAATGAGAACATCCACACTCAGCATTGCAGGCTGTGAATGGAAGATACTTGTTCTTTGTGGGCTTTAAAAAGCGTTTTCTGGTGTTTGTGTTAAAGCAAACTCGTTTTTTTATTATTATGATCCCGTCACTTGTATTTGGTTTGAAGAAGTCTCTCCTTGCCCTGGCATATCAGGGTTCACTTTATTGATGTGGCCATGTAGCCAAGGATGTTTTACTGAATGTTCTGAAGGCATAAAGTGTTTAAATAATATGTTTATTTGTGAAATAAATTCAAGGGGGGGGGGGAAGGCACCTTAATTTTAAATAAACGAACTGTTGTCTCCTCAATTAGAGGATATAAAATAACCACTTTTATCTCTTGGTGCTGGGACATCATGTAGTACGAGGAAAAAAACAATGTATTTTTGAAGATAAGTTATTTAAATTTCAAGGATTTTGCTGTATTAAGCATTTTCATGAATGTGGGTTGCAATGCAGGACATCCAAAGGGGAAAGAGCAGCTTCCACTGAGCTTAGAGGGGAAATCCACAACCAAAGAGCCCCACATTTCACTTCCCTTCTCCTGCATCCTACAGGGTAAATTTTGCCTATGTGAATGTAGGTCAGACATTACCCTAATTAATTTTTTTCCTTGCAAATGCATACCCAGAGGAGCTGTTTTGGCAAACATCTGCCCCAAAATATGCATTGCCTTATTTCAGGTCAGCTTTTAGGATGAAAGGTGCCCGTGGACCTTTCGATGGATTTGCCATGAAATCAAAACTTACCCGTTGAAGAAGATTATAGTGCTGCCCCTCTCATGATGAAACTAATTGGTTTGATATTATTCTTGTACAAATATTAGGCTGTGATGACTGCATTGGTTTGCCATGGTATATATAAATAAATACGTGCTCCTCTTGTATCGGAAAGAGGTTCCAACCCTAAGGCTTGTTTTTAATTTATGCAGACAAGAGGCACGGGGAGATGGGAGGCAGAAACAGCTTGAGGACATCTGTCAGTTTGCAAAATAGAAGCTCTTGTGAAAAATGAATTGCAAGGATGGGTTTAAAGGGAGATGCTCAGCGCTCCTTGACATCCACTCGGTTGGCACGTGGAGAGCTTTTGGAGAGCAGGGAATGGGATTGGCACAGAAAGGAGGAAACAGAAACGAGGAGCAAATAGAAGCACATGTAGGAAGATGAAGTGTTTGTTTAGGCTTCGAGAAAATGAGGAGTTCTGTGGGAATGTGTGTTACGTTCAGAATGTCAAAATTTGGATAACGTGTTTGGTTTGGCAGCAGATTTTATGGGGTGTCCCGGTTGTTTCCCTGCAGGTGTTCGCTTACGATCACTGCTTTTGGTCTATGGATGAATCTGTCAAAGAAAAATATGCAGGTAATATTTGTAGGGGCTTTGGGCTTCTTGTCTCCAGGTGGGAATGATCTAATTAAAACAGGGTTTGCTACAGGGCACAGGCCATATGGCACAAGGTGCTGTCCCCTAAATAACTGTTTGTCGTCAAAAGGAAAAGGGAAATCTTCAATCACTTCTGTTTCTGACAACAGCAACGGGCACTGCCACCCGTTTGCAGTGTAGGGAATGGAGAAATCCCTCACACAGATGGGCTACTCATATTTACAATTTTATTTAAAGTATTACTCCAAGTCTGTAATTTTAAAAGCATCAAAATAATTTATTTTCAATATTTGAGGAGCGTTGTTATGTGTAGTTTCATGTTTCGCAGTGCTGCTGGGAGTTTGACATCACAGTACAACTTATTAATGGAATATTAATAAAAGCCTAATTTAATATAGACAATGTGAATTCAGATGCTCAGGTGAGAATGAGCAATGTATTTAATGAAAAGTTTTCTGTGTATTATTATAATTCCTTTTGGCAAAAAATTAGGGTAAAATTTGATTTAACACTCTTGTCATCTATTCCTTTCACACTTGTTATCTTTTAAAATTTGGGATCAGTTGAACTTCTTACTGTCTACTTTCAAAAAAAAATAATCACAAGAAAAATCAAAGGCACATCCACTTCTTGATTTTTACTTCTTTAACAAATAACTCATGAATAGTAATTAATCAAGGAACTGAGAAAAACGTGACACTTTCAACCATACAAATGACATAGGCAGGTATATATTTTGTTTCTCAAACTGTTGGAGGTGCCTGTATAACTTATGTTATGGTCTGTTATGCAGTGGAAGGGTTTGCTCCAAAACCACTTCACTGTGCTTGGCCTGGCCCAACTTTGAGTGATCTTTATGGGGAATTTAGCAATGACCTTGAATATAAAAATATGAACTTCAATGAGAGAAAAAGAAGAACTTAAAGGAACATTAACTTATTTGAGAGGACTTCCAGTCCATAAAGTTCTGTCATGTCTTGTTCCTCTTCTTACAAAAGAAATTCTCAAAATAGAGATTTTTTTTTTTTTTTAAAGTGATGCTATTCAAACATTTTAAGCCTTTCTTCCTCTGCTTGGAAAATGATCTGAAAAAGCTCAAATTTCCATTACAAGAGAAGTGATACACCCTGTATTTTGCTAATGCATATCTTGTACTATAAAATCTTCCCCATAGCTGTGATTCCTTTTCTACTAGAATCTCCTCATGGTATTATTTAATATCTTATACAGTAAAATTATCCACTGCTCTACTGATTCCCTTAGATTAAAATCAACTGACTGTCGTTAAAATGTACAGGTAGAGTCTGCTTTGAGGGGGTGTCATTCACCAGTGGATTAAATTCTGCAGTGGGCAGTAGATTCTCTGCTGATAAAACTTCTGAGCGTAGTAAAACACTGGTAGGACGTGTCTTTAAACACATCCAGGTATGTGCATGATAATCCCAGATTTGTACAGAAGCATCTTCTGGTGCTGATGGACTTGCTCCTGTCCAGGGGAGCAAACACTGGATGTTATTTAGGCAACAACAGCAGGAAAGCACCAACTGCTTTTACATAATCCTTGAAGATTCCAAACCAAGGAACAAATACCTCTTGCTGAGTTACGATCTTCTTCGCCTGTGTGTTGTATTTTTTAGGTCAAGATGTTGTTTTCAAGTGCCTTGGGGAGAATATTCTTCAGAATGCCTTTGAAGGCTACAACGCTTGTATCTTTGCCTACGGGCAAACGGGTAAGTCCCAGATAAGCGAAAATATTCTCCCCTCAAAAGGTGTTACCGTCCTGACTGGAGACTCTTCCCGTGCCTGTTGTGACATTGTTCCAGGAGAAATGCCTTCTAGTGGAGATAAGAAATGTTTTTCCCTCCTCTAACATCAGATATGAGGCGGGCAGGATGAGAAATAAGGTTTTGTTGCTGCTGGCGACCCTTGTTTCTCACAGTGTAGATTTTGATCTTTGGGATGACCGTGGTCGTCCTTGAGTTCGCAGCATCGCTCAGGTTTTCTGCCTCTGCAGTTGGAATGATCTTGAATTGTCATTTAAAACCTAATATTTAAAGAGTAACGTGAAGAGTTTTCTCATCCTGGCCCATCTGTGGATGTTAGTGGGGTGTGATTTACTTTATCTGCCTGAAAAAGTCGTCTCCAGCAGTTGGAGCTAAATTTCTTGTTTCCCTTTTAATTAAATAGCCTTTAGCTCAGTGGTGTTTTGGTTACTTTAAAGTAGGAAACTGAACAAATAATCTTTCACTGAATGATATTAATTAACTTTTTAACCTCTTCTACTTCCTATCAATATTCTGCCCAGCAAGAGCCCTTGTTGCATGTCCACTAATCATAGATTCCCTCACACAGGATCTGGAAAATCTTACACAATGATGGGGACTGCTGACCAGCCTGGACTAATCCCTAAACTTTGCAGTGGACTCTTTGAAAGAGCACAGAAAGAGGAAAATGAAGAGCAGAGTTTCAAAGTGGAAGTATCCTACATGGAGATATACAATGAGAAAGTCAGAGATCTCCTTGACCCAAAGGGGTAGGTAACCTGTGTGTGATCAGCACTGTAGAATGTTGTCCCACACTCTTCCCTTTCATACCAGTTTGCCTTAATCTAAATATGCCTCCATCTAAAGCGTTTGCTGCCTTCCTGATCTCAGCATCCTCTCATTTTAAACCAAAATAAAGTAGTAAGACTAAAAACTTGGAGTAAATTTGCTCTAATGCCACCTTTTATGAAGTGACAAAACTGTCTGTGTCAGCTTTTTACGTGCAGACATAAGCCCTTTTTGTTTGCACTGTAGTCCATGTTCTGTGCTTTATTACACTATCTGTGAGGCCATCCTGTTGGAGATCTGTCAGTGAGAATTGACTTTGTGTAAATGTTGTCTCAAGTCAGTCATGTGCTTATAAATACCTTTTTTTTCCCCCAACCAGAAGCCGTCAGTCATTAAAGGTTAGAGAACACAGTGTTTATGGCCCTTACGTAGATGGCCTATCCAAACTAGCTGTTGCTAGCTACAAGGTAAGGATCCATTTTATGAAAGGCTTGTGTTGACACCCTAAACACCAGGGTACTGCCCCCTAAGCAGGACAGAATTGTTAAGCTGCTCCTCATCACTGTGGATTTTAGAGCAAGAGAGCTGAGGATTGTCATATTGTGATCCCTGGGGAGAACAGGGTTAAGAGCAGAAACTCCCTTCATCCTGTACTATTCAATAATTCTGGAAGTAATTCAGCTATTTAATGAAACACATTTCCTCCCAGACTTAAGATGAGTGTATGCTGTCATGAGAAAGTGTTTTGTGATTAATTACAGAGCCAGGATTTAGCAGAGACAGCCTCTCAGTACCCACTGTGTCACTTTTTGGCTGTCGTGCTCTAGTCTAGTAATTTCCCCTCCCAGTAGCACACAGTGGAATTATAAATGAATGGCTGTTTACAAAGCAAATATTTGAGAACATCACACCAAACTTGCCTGCTGGATAGTAAATGTTTATATATGCATTCACAAAATGCCCTATTTTTTAAAGAAACATCAATGTACTGTGGGAAAAAGGGATAAATAAGGGATGCAATTCTGTCATAATATTGAATTGTCACGTCACCAAAACGTGAAAATGGTGGAATCCCTCCTATTGCAGTTTCTCCAGGTGTTCATCTACCACTCCTTGGTGGTTTCTGCTAAATCAAGACACATTTCATGCTTTGCCTTTCCATGTTGCCCAGCAGCTTTGTGTAATCCAGCATATGGAGTCAAAATGGTCTGTGGCGGTCTGTTGTTTGACTGTTTTTTGAGTTGTTTTAGCATTACCCAAACAAAAGGAACAAAAATATAGCCAAGACTCTAAAATTTTAACTGTAAAACCCCAAAGAAGGGGCCTGCACCTTCCTGGAGTATCACAACATATCTAAAAATTTTATAACTTCTAAAACTTGGAGGGAAATAATGACCCTATTCAGCCTGGTTCTGTTTTATAAACCTTTGAGCCTCCTGTCAGTATTCCAGATTCCAAAAACATGTCTGACATCTGAGGCTAAAATGTTACAGGGTTCAACCAGGGATTGCTGTTTCCTCACTCCTTTCTTTGCTTTTGAGTGTTTCTGTCTGCAGGCAGGTGCATTATTTTGATGATCATTTGATATCTATGTCGAGGAGGGTCATGACACTGTAATTTCTAGGCTTTAAAGGAGAGAGATCACAACATTTTTACCCCTCACGTTTTATGAATGAATGGTGGGAAACCCCTGAGAAAACACTGTATTTTACCAGAATGGGATTATTTTTGTGGATAATTGAGAAGGATGTTAATTCAGATACTCTCCTGGCTGTGAAAATTGTCTCTAGGACATCGAGTCCTTGATGTCTGAGGGCAACAAATCCCGCACAGTGGCTGCAACCAACATGAACGAGGAGAGCAGTCGGTCCCACGCAGTGTTCAAGATTATCCTCACCCACACGCTCTATGACGTACAATCAGGGGTAAGAAAAACAACTTACAAGGTCCAAATGTCAAGCATGGAAATGTTCCTTTAATGTATTTCATAGAAAAGAAACACTTCTTTTTAGGAAGCAGTGTGTAGGACATATTAAAGGTAGAGTGTGTAGATGAAAAATAGAAGAACACCTGAGCGTCCCTCGGGTTATTTCATGCAAATATATGTAAATTGTCAACTTTCTAAATAGAAAAAAAAATGACCGATTTCAAACATTTTGCATTGTATCCCATTAATATTTGATGTGTATATATTAAATATCTAAAAGACATTTAAATGTGAGAATGTTTTTCTTTATGTTTCCTTATGAAAAAAATATACCCTGGAGGGGTGTGTGAAATACATGATGTCAATATTATTTAGTCCCTCACAGAACATGCTGATAAAATTCAATTGAAATAAGTATCTTTAACCTTTGTTGATAGATTCTGTTCTTGGGCAATTCTTTCATACTTTCAAAACCTTTGAGAAAATCTGAGTGTCCGTGGAGCAAATCTAAGGCATGTGTGTGCCTAAATATTGAATATAGCGGAAAAACATAATGAGCATTTGGACTTTTTTCATCCTTGTTTCTCAGTTTCCACTGATCTTCTTATCCTCATCATTTCCCTCGTTCTTTATTTGGATTTTTTTCCCCTTTACACTTCAAATCAGCATCATACTGTGCTGAACTCCTGGATTTTGCATAGTTTGTCATTCCAGTTTTGCTGTGGCTGTACTGCAGGCTCATCACACCTCATTTTTGTGTGACCCTGCAAGGGTGGTCGATGTCCTGACTGTCCATCTTTTCTGTATCTTCCATTGACCGCTGTGTGAGTTTCTGGGACAGATTTCTCTGTTTTCCCACCTGCCAGTCCTTTCAGTCCTGGAAATGACACGTTTTCCCTGTGGCTTGATGATCACACCATATTTTTTAGAGGCTTAGGGTAACATTTTTGAAAGCACATTGATTCTGATTATCCCATTCATTTAAGGGAACGTAGCGCTTTGTGATACTGAGATGCTGAAGCTGCAGATGCTGCAGAAGAACATGATGTGAGCAAGCTGTTCTCAAAGACAGTTGTCTTTTCAAACTGACGTAGGGAATTCGTGGAGTGTTTCACGGTGTCATTTTGGGTCAAATGAGATAAAAGGATTTGTAACAAAATCTGTATTACAGGTTTAAATACTCTCGTAGCTTGCCTTGCATTCCAGGAGGCTGAGAAGGATAGAAGAGACTTTGCAATTGTAATAATTTCCATAAATTATTGCTGCTTGTCGTGGCCATTCTTAGTCCCTGGGAAACAGAAGAAAACTGGTATAAAATCTGAGATTTTTAGGAGACTGTTTCCAAGGTGGGGTTGTAAATCCCACATCCCTGGTTTGTGACTCCTTTTTGTGTAGTAACTCTGCACTGTTCATGGTTTAACCCTTCACTAATATGCCCTGTGTACCTCTCCTCTGGAGGTTTCTGAGATGTTTTGAAGATATTGGTGTCCCAGACTTCACTTCAGGTCACTCAGTGGTTTGTGAAGCAGCAGGTGGTGAGTTAGCACAGGCCACTCTTCAAGTCCAACAGTTCTCAAAGGTGTTGGAACAAGAATCTACACTAAAAAATGAAGCTTGATTCTTGTTGGAAAATACATCAAACTATGTGGTTTCAATTGAGGGAACTAACAGTGGCTGTTCTCGGGTTCCTTCCACAGACATCAGGTGAGAAGGTGGGCAAGCTGAGCCTGGTGGACTTAGCAGGGAGTGAAAGGGCAACTAAGACTGGTGCTGCAGGGGACAGGCTGAAAGAAGGAAGCAACATTAACAAGTAAGGCTTTGAGATTATTATTTTCCTTTTTTATCAGTACAATCATGGCTGTTAAATACAGGCTACTTGGAAAATAGGCTAAAGTCAATATAAGCTCTTGTAGTCAGTTTTCTTCTCTCTTTCTCTTTCTTTCTTTCTTTCTTTCTTTCTTTCTTTCTTTCTTTCTTTCTTTCTTTCTCTTTCTTTCTTTGTTTCTTTGTTTCTTTGTTTGTTTCTTTCTTTCTTTCTTTCTTTCTTTCTTTCTTTCTTTTTTTCTCTCTTTCTCTCTTTCTTTCTCTTTCTTTCTCTCTTTCTTTCTCTTTCTCTCTTTCTTTCTCTCTCTCTCTTTCTTTCTCTCTCTCTCTTTCTCTCTTTCTCTCTTTCTTTCTCTTTCTCTCTTTCTCTCTTTCTTTTTCTCTTTCTCTATTTTTCTCTCTCTCTCTTTCTTTCTCTCTCTCTCTTTCTTTCTCTCTCTCTCTTTCTCTCTCTCTCTCTCTCTTTCTCTCTTTCTTTCTCTCTTTCTTTTTCTCTTTCTCTATTTTTCTCTCTCTCTCTTTCTTTCTCTCTTTCTTTTTCTCTTTCTCTATTTTTCTCTCTCTCTTTCTCTCTCTTTCTCTCTCTTTCTTTCTCTCTCTCTCTCTCTTTCTCTCTTTCTTTCTCTCTTTCTTTTTCTCTTTCTCTATTTTTCTCTCTCTCTCTTTCTTTCTCTCTTTCTCTCTCTCTCTTTCTTTTCTTTCTTTCTCTGTTTCTCTTTTTGACACGCTATACTCCTTGCAAGTTGAATGAGATCTCCATGTATTTAAAAAATACTTGTGTTCTTGCAACTACCACAAATTTCATCGTGAAAACCTCATTTTTAAGGGTGAAAACATATTGAAAATAAAGGAGTGGAGCTTTTGTACTAGGAACTTTTTCCCGGGAGCACATTTTTTTTTTGCTGTCTAAATATGCATTTGGCTTATGAATATTTACCCTTGTTAATGACTTCTTGTGTTCTCTGGGCAGATCCCTCACAACTCTTGGGTTGGTTATTTCTGCCCTGGCAGATCAGGCTGCTGGCAAGAACAAGAACAAATTTGTTCCGTATCGTGATTCTGTGCTCACTTGGTTACTTAAAGTAAGTAAGTTTTGGGGATTTTTTAAAGTGAAATAAAAGAGAGGAAAAGGGGAAAAGATTCTCATTTAATGAAATAAAACTGTTCTCTTTGCCTCACTTTCTGGGTTTGATGTTAACCATAAGTGTCTTTGGAAAACGAGCTGGATGGAAGCCATCAGTATCTCTGTGGACTAAATGTGTTCTCTGTCTTCTGCAATGACCTGCAGTGGCCTAAAGTCTAAGGAACTTTAGGAATAAAATTAAAAGCAGTATTTTTCATGGGTCACCGTGTGTACAGCTTCACACACAGCCTCAGGGCTAATTTAATTTGGGCTATTTCTGCATGCAGCTGAATTTTACATACTGGCATGGTCAGATTTGAAGATTTTTTTTTATGAAGACTATTACCTTTTCCTGATCATCTAATATATTTTTAATATACTTTTATCAGCAGAGTGTAATTGCAGAGCATTATCTGAGTTACAGTCTGAGGAACAGGTCAGAAGACTTTAGACATGATATTCGTGTGAAACGAGCAGTTAAATCATTTTTTGAACTGCATAGGCCTCTATTTGTTATTATTTTGGGGGAGAAAAGAGTGTCTCATAATGGCACTTGGCTGCAAATCTGTAAGGTCTAAATGAAAAAACCAAATTGTTAAATATGAGATTAATGTATGTCAAATTTCTTTTTTTTCCCCTTGTCCTCTGTTTAATTGTTATCTAGGAGCAACTATTTGTTAGTAGAAAGAGGTAATCTGGGAAGAAACCAATTTTTGGCACCACCTGATTTTTATTGTCCTCTTTTGTAGATGCTCTGGCTACATTTTTTTAATCTTGAATACTCTGCTTGCTTCCCCATCCACTCTTAGCAATATTTTTAGATGTTATTCAAATTTCACGTCCCTGTGATTTAACTGCACACGTGAAAAGAAAAATACAAAGTCACTTGAAGGTTATACAGAGGTGTGGGGATAAAAAAAGACATTTTTCTTAAGGAGATTTGAAGACAAAGTTGACTTCGGTGCTTAAGTAACATAAAATCTCTGCTCGTGTAACCTTGACACCACAAACCTTCATTTTTCTCAGGGCTGCCTTTGAATAAACCTTTTAGCATGACTTGTGAAACAATTTATCTCTACTCCCTGGTGTAAACAGCACAAATGCTGGACATCAGATAGTCACGAGGGCCACGTAAAAATGCGACGGGCACGACAGAAAGAGCGTCTGGAGCAAAACAAGTCCTCCTATCACATTGCCCTTTGTGCTAAGACTTTTTTAGTGTTTAAGTATATTTTTACCTCTGTATATTCACACTGAGTTTTTCCTCTAATCAGTAATAAACAAGTGATTTTTTTTTTTTGAGGGGCTCTCTGCAGAGATGGGAACAAACCCGGGGCCGTGTGTGTGCGCTCGGGTTCCTGATGTGGCCGTAACACCCCGAGCGGGCAGAGTGGAAACTTTCCTAAGGAATTTCTAGTCTCGTTAGAATTAGTTATGCTGCCCCATTGCTAAACAAATCCAGGGAGCAGACTGCAATTCCTGTTTAGCACCTGTCCAAGGCATTGTGGCCACGATGCCAATGGCTCAGAAATAGGAGCTCACTTTTGTTCTGCCTTCTTTCAGGCAAACCTTCTTTGTGTCCAACATCCAGCCGTGTTAAGTGCAAACAAAAGGGTTGGGGCTTTTGGATTTCTTACAAACAAGCTCATTGAAGCTTTATTTTGAAAAGGGAAAATTTAAACCTTTTTTTGTTTTTTGGGTTTTTTTAGATGAAAGATCAAAGGAGGGATTTATTCGTAAAGAGGCGTGTTTGGAGAAACCATGAGATGGGGTGTCTTTCTCTGTAGCTTTCAGCTTTTAATTATGATACCAAAGCAGACTGAATGTGTTCTAACTGTAAGAATATCTGTCATAAAGTGCCTCTCCACAAATCTGAGAAACCAGTAGGGTTCAGGAGACCTCAAGATCTAACACTTTTCTGCTTAATTTTGTTGAGGATCTTTAGACAGAAGTACCAGGTGAAAACTATCAAGTTATGTGTAGGAAGCAAAATAGCTTGTCAGTGCTTGAACTTCTTGTTTTTAGCAAAATATTGGCACAAACATCTTGCTTTCCCGTGATAATCAGAAGCCCTGTGTGGCTTACTGATGGCAGCTATTAAAAATATCATTTCTGATCTCGACATTTTGCATTGTTGTCACAGTAATCTTGGTGTTAGAGAAGACTGGGCTGGTTTAGGCTCAGAAATAACTAAACTTATTTATTTCCACTCTGTCACATGCAGGCCCAGCCTTGCCAGGGTCATTTACAGGCACCGTCTTTGCTAATGAGAGGCTGATTTACTATTTGTCCACCTTTCTCGATTAGCATTAAAGAAACCAGTGAAATCAGCACAAGGGTTTTATACATAAAACTTTTATCAGACAGTCTGGCATTGGGCTTGAATTGCTACAAGAGGGACTCTACCCAACTTATAATGGGTGTATTGTGGATTCTGGTGTATCACTGTTACAGCGTTCTCAGCTGCCTGTACAGCAGAGTTGCAATTCAAATAATGAATTAATCCTATTTTGGAGCTAATTAGTGCAGTGAAGGACATTCCCAAGTAGTATTCCCAAGTATTCCCTGAACAAACTTTTAAGGTTGGGTTTGGAAGGGGAGTCCCTGGCCAGCTCCCTGCCAAACTTCATCGTTTTATGCAGAACAGGGATTGCAGTGGCAGGGTGTCATTCCTAATATTTGGCCCAGAAACCCCATCAAATGAAACATGTGCTCTTGTAGATCTTCAAGTTTTCAGTGGTTGCCTTGGAAAAACTCTTCTGTGGTACAGAGTGGACCCTCCCAAACTGTGTACTCATTGCAGTGAATGTTGGTTACTCCTCAGATGAGAAAAAAATTCACTGTGAGATCAGACAGAAAACTGTTTTTTGCAGTTGACTTCTTTATAAATATTCTTACCTGCACATACCAACCATGCTGGTGCACCTCAGTGTGCTGAACATTATAAATACACATATATATATTTATATTTATATGAATTACATGGCCTTTTGCATGAGCAGAGACAGCAAAGTGCTACCAACTCATCAGGCTGTGTGGGCAATACTTGTCTGACCTCGGGAGCAGCCAGACGGCTGTCAAAGTGTTTTAGGCATCATCCAACCAAAAAGAGTCTTGGGGAAATACTTAAAGGGGTGTTTTAATGATTTCTGGGGAAAGCTGCACGTGTGCTGGGTAATTGAAATGGTTGGACAGGCAGCTAATGCAGTCAGATTGTTCTAATGGCAATGCCTGACCTAGATTTCATGGGTTATTGAAGATGAAAATTAATAGCATGGTTCATCTCAGGAAGGGATATTGGGTAAAAAACCAAAATAACCCCCCCAAAAAATCCAAACAAACAAAAAAACCCAACCCAACCAACCAACCAACCAAAAAAAACAGAAGAAAAAAAAAATCTACTGCAAAATTGCAAAATTTAAAAAAGCAAAATATTTTATCTTTTAGACTGGCCAAAATTATAAACCATGATTTTATGATCAATAAAAAGATTGAATCCTTCCTTCCTTCATTCCTTCCTTCCCTTCTCCTCTCCCCCTGACACTCTGCCTTGCAGGAATGTGGTTTCACACCCTTCTTCTCTGTCAACCAAATTCCAGGAGGGTAATTTCTTATGTAACTCAATTTAGGTTTGTGAGCTGTGTCAGTGGGGAGAAGGGAAGGGCCCCATCCTGAAATGTTTATAGGATTAGAATCAGCTGTATTGTTTATGAGGAGATCTTTCAGTAATTTAAATATTTGTTGGAGAGATCTCTCTTATAGTCTTTAAAATAAGATGTTCTGAGTTCATCACGATCTTTCCTGAGCTCCCTCAGCAGTATCTAAGAAGTTTAATGCTGAAGTGCTTATATTTCTAGTTTATAAACCTACACACAAAACATAGAATTAAACCTTTGAAGCCCTTTCGAGGCACTGCAAAGCCCAAAAAAGGGACTTTTTTTTCATTCCCGTTACAACTAAAACTGATTCTGAAAGCCAAGAGTGACAGTTCCTAAACGTGCTTAAAAAAATCACGCTGAAAATGACAACTCTTTCTCGATTTACACATCATTTGGTTTTGAACTGCCAACAGTATTTCTGCTTTTAGCTGCACCCCATCTGCTCCAAACTTTTAGCTTATTATTCGCTGCCTGAGTTTACTGAGCGGGTAAACCAGAAGGAACCTGCTGTTTTCATTCCGTCACCTCTCCCGCCTTCCAGGACAGCCTCGGCGGGAACAGCAAGACTGCCATGGTGGCAACCGTGAGCCCGGCAGCAGATAACTACGACGAGACCCTTTCCACCCTGAGGTACGCGGACAGGGCCAAGAACATCGTCAACCACGCCGTGGTCAACGAGGACCCCAACGCTCGCATCATCCGGGAGCTCCGCGAGGAGGTGGAGAAGCTGCGGGAGCAGCTCACGAAAGCCGAGGTACAGATTTGGGGGTCTTGGACTAAGCCGGTAAATCCTTGTGAGGCCCGTGGTCAGGACTGTTCCTACCCGGCTCTAGAAAGTGGATGCCACAAGGCAACCCTACAAAGTAATGCTATATAATTATATATATATATATAATATATATATTATACTGTAATGGTAATGCTACTACAGGGTATCTATGAGAAGTCTCCCTTTATATAATTTTTTCCGCACCTTTCTCCATGTCAGTCTTGAGACGTGGGTGTTAAATCACAGAATCACAGCATGTGCTGACTTGGAAGGGACCCACCAGGATCATCGAGTCCCAGCTCCTGGCCCTGCACAGGCCCATCCCCAGCAGTCACACCCTGTGCCCCAGAGGATCATCCAAACCCTCCTAGAGCTCTGGCAGCCTTGGGGCTGTGCCCACTGCCCTGGGGAGCCTGTTCAGTGCCAACCACCCTCTGGGAGAAGAACCTATTTCTAATATCCAACCTAAACCTCCCCTGACACAACTCCAGCCATTCCCTGGGTGCTGTCCCTGGTCCCCACAGAGCAGAGCTCAGTCCTGCCCCTCCTCTTCCCCTCCCGAGGAAGTTGTAACTGCAGTGAGGTCTCTCCTCAGTCTCCTCCTCTGCAGCTGAACACACCAAGTGCCTTCAGCCTCTCCTCACACAGCTTCTCCTCAAGGCCCTTCACCATCTTCGTTGCCTCCTTTGGACTCTCTCTAAGAGCTTAATAAAAGACATAGCAGGTTCAGTTTGAGCACCTTGAGCAATCTTGTTTTTATGGTGTATTGCAGAGGACGTGGAGACAGGAGCAGGGGTGGATTCATAAGGCTGGGTAGTTTGTAGGCAGAGCTTTGCCTTTCAGAATTCAGTGTAGCCACATCCTGGGAGATGTGAATCCAGTTAAATAAAGTTTTCTTGCTTGATTCCAGGCCATAACTGTTCTCAGTTGAATCTCTTACAGGCACTAGACAATATTTTGAATATCTGCATTGCTTCCTCAGTGAAAGTTTGAGGGGAGCATGGTCTGACTGTTAGATGAAGGCCAAGAAGTAGTGTAATTCTGAGTGCTGTTCTCAAATGGGGCAAAGCAGTGGTGATATAATCCCTCTGTTTTGCTGTTCAGAAAAAATATGATTACAGGATTTGCCTCATGAGGTATGCAGGGAATGCTGGCTGTGATACTACAAATGACTAGTGAATTTTGGACTGTTCTCACTTGAGCTGCCTAATATCCTAAGCATCCAATCTGTATATATCAGTTTCTTTGAGATATCTCAAATATCTAAATATTAAATATCTAAAAATTCCTCTAAAATATCAACCAGAGACTTAACAGTACCCTGAGAGCTGCAAGTAACCCCCGTTTGTTTAATTTTCTAGCCTTAGTGCCCAAATAATGGCAGCTTTCCAAAATAATGAAGTAATGTTTCCTAAAGATGAAGTAATAAATATTTCCTTTCCCAAGTATTGAAATCCCACCCTAGTTGTCATCTCAGTGGCATTGACAAAGAGCAGGGAAAAACCAGAGCAATTTGCTGTTACGAGGCTGCACAGTAAAGGTCAAACCCCACATTCACAGCCTTGTACTCCTTTCAGTTCATTACATTTGTTGCCCATCTAATTGTTCTTACAGAAATGTGCATAAATAGCTTCCTTAAGTGAACAAAAACACTGACTCATTATGACAGGTTACGTTTCCCAAGCTCATTTCCAAATATAGAGGATGCCAAGTTGCGGGTTTGGCTTTTTTTTTACCTTTTGGTGTCAGTAACCTTTTCTCTCTTGAACAGCCAAGGCAGAACAGAACTTGACAGTCGACTTTTTCCCCCTGAAGAGTATGGCATTTTCCTCTTTTCCCTTTTTCTTTTTTAATCCACACATTTTGATCTTTTCTTGTTGAAATTAATATCACATGTTTTGATTCAACTGTGCCAGGACCTCCAGCTTGTCCTTCCTAAGCTGGGAATTTACCTGTTTTCAACAGAGCAGCACAACTGTGGGTCTGATGTCAGACTGAGCCAGTATCTCTGGGGTTTATGTGAGAATTGCAGGGAGTGAGGAGAGTTACCCAGGTCATTGTACAGTTGAAGGATGGGAAAATGTTCACTGGTTTTGCCCCAGGTCCAAATAAATGGACAGGCAAGACTTACACGTTGAGAGTATCTGGGCTTCATCTTCCTGTCCTGCTCTGTAGGGTCCAGCCCCTTTGCACTGATCGTGTTTTGTCTGTCATGATGAATCTTTGTCTTGGCTTCCCTTTCCTGCATGTGTGGAATTCATAGAATCACAGAATGGTTTAGGTTGGAAGGGACCTTAAAGATCATCTCCTTCCAACCCCCTGCCATGGGCAGGGTCACCTTCCACTGTCCCAGGTTGCTCCAAGCCCCGTCCAACCTGGCCTTGGACACTTCCAGGGATCCAGGGGCAACCACAGCTTCTCTGGGCAACCTGTGCCAGGGCCTCGCCACCCTCACAGGGAATAATTTCTTCCCAATATCCCATCCCTCCCTGCCTTCTGGCAGTGGGAATCCATTCCCCCTTGTCCTGTTCCTCCAGCCTCTTGTCCAAAGTCCCTCTCCCTTTTACCCCGTATTTAGGCATTTGAAGCAGAAAAAACCCACACAGGACACATCAGCTGACAGTTCCTAGACTGTTGTGTCTTGAGGCAGAGGAAACTCCTGTCTCAAAACAGGATTTTCCAATCCTGGCACTTGCTCCTTTTCTTGAACAAACTGCAGTGTAATGAGGCCACTCTTTGATCTGGATTCCTGTGAGGAGTTTTGGTTTTGTGGTAATGGAATGTCTGATGGAGAACGATGCTTACATTATTTAATTGGCTTTGCATAAACACCTACCAGCCAAAACCATTTTCATCATTAGCAGTAATGAAATAATGAGATAAAAAATCCACAGGCTTTTTGATCAAGGTAGTAGAGGAGGAAATGCCATTACTGAGAATGAAGGAAGTAAATATATGGAGTATAAAAATCATACAATACTTTGAGTTGGAAGGGACCTTTTAAAGCTCTTCTAGTCCAACCCTCTGCTGTGGGCAGGGACACCTTCCACTAGACCAGGTTCCTCCAAGCTCTGTCCAACCTGGCCTTGGACACTTCCAGGGATGGGGCAATGTTTTTGGAGTGTCTGATGGGTGGCAGTGGGGGGATCCTCTTATTCTTGAGTTAGTCCTTGGATGAAACATTTACCTTTGAATATTTCACAAAATAATGTTAGAGCTGTGATGGATTAGCAAGAAAATTGAATTTTGGTACCTTGAAGCACATTTTAAGCTTGTTTTGATAATCATCCTGTAAGCTGCATTTCTAAATGCAGAGCTGGACAACTAGAACACCTCAGCTATCTGGACAGTTGCTATAGAAAAGAAGAATCCCACCAATCAGGCCATATAAATGTGAACAATAACAATATTTTGGTGGCATGGCAGTTTACTGAGAAAGGACGTGTCATTGCGAGGGTTTGACAGCTGAGAGGATGATGCCAAGCCAGATCAGCAGGATCTTGAGAAACCAGATGGGTTTTGATATGAGTCATTTGGGACACTCACACTGGTATGGAAAAGAGATCAGTTTGTGTTTGAGTATCTATGTGCAAATCTACCAGTATCATGTAATTGGTTTGTGTTGAAGTCTATAAACTCCACATTAACATCTGCTCTTGAAACTAATTAAAGCAACTTTCTGATGGATTCTCATTTACATGAAATATGTATTAAGAAAAACCCTTTACTTACTGATAAATCTGCCCTGCAAAATGAGTCATGTTGCCTTTTTCCCCCCCCATCTGTGTGAACAGTGATGTGAAAAAACACAAAGCACAACAAGCTTTCTTGTTTCATTTGCTTTTATTCCTGCAGGCTATGAAATCGCCCGAATTAAAAGAACGATTGGAGGAATCCGAGAAGTTGATTCAGGAAATGACTGTGACCTGGGAAGAAAAATTACGAAAAACCGAGGAGATAGCTCAGGTTTGCTACTTTCTTTCCTCCCCCCTGCCCCCATTTTTTATGAAAAATAGGTTTGTTTTCTTTGTCTGTCGGTTCACAGAGGTTGTCTGAGTCTCTCCCCACATTTATGGGTAAGTAGGTCAAGCTTGCTGCCCTTTTGAAAAGCTTCACTTAATTCCTGTGATAGATGGGTGCCTCCCAGATTACTATTGCAGTGACAATAATAAATTGTCACTGTATGCAAATGGAGAAGTTATTTAAAAAAAAATAATAATCCAGGGATGAGAGGATTATAGGGATTTTTTTATTCTTCAGGCGGTAAAATTGTTTCTGATGAGGGACAGGAGCATTCAGTGCAAGGTTGTGAGCTGACAGGCTCAGTGCACAAGGCAAAGGGCATCCAGAATATTAAAAAATAGAGCTGTCCAGGATCTCTGTGTGTTTTAATACCTGTTAAACTGATATTTAGGGCCTCAGACCATAATTGAAGACGATTATGTTGAAAAATGACGCAGGTCACCACGATTATTCCATGACACTTCTAGTTCTTCCCACACAAGTGCTGATGTGGATATTTGCAGAGGGGAGCTCTGGAGGGGGAGGGCTGTTGGAAGGTGATGAATAGTGTGTAATAAATAAGGAGAGAAGGGAGCCTCTGGTACAAAGCCCTCTTGTAGATGCCACAATCAGAATAGACTGTGTTGACTTTGGTTTTAAAGATCCATTGTAAGAAGTGCTGCTTGTGACTCCGAGGGTTTCCTGGCTTTCAATGCAGATTTGTACCCTGGATTTTCCTCCCTGTGTAAAAAAAAAAAAAAAAAAAAATCAAAAATATTAATAAAAACATTCTACTCTCATCCTACACAATAGTTTCTAGAAATCCTCGGTGTGTGAGGAGGTTGAAAAACTGGAGTAGTGGGCTCAACTCTACAGATTAAATGTGCCTTGATGTTTGCATGTTGCTGTGTGCTCTAACTCTCCTCATCTCTGTCTCTAAATTCCCAACCTTGGTAGGATGTTTGAGATCTGGGAGTTTCATGAACCTTGGAGAAGTGATTTTCTTTTTCAGGGGGGGGATAAGGACTGGTGTTTGTGCAGCACAGGCTGATTCAGGACTGGTTGGAAGTCAGTAAAGGAACCTTCTGACATCTTCAGTAGGTTTGGTGGGTTGGGCTGGATACCAAGTGTCCACCAAGGCTATTCTGTCACTGCCCTCTTTAGCTGGACAGGGGAGAGAAAATGTAACAAAAGGCTCATGGGGTGAGATACGGACAGGGAGAGATCACTCACCAATTATTGTCACGGGCAAAACTGGTTTGACTTGGGAAAGTTAGTTTCATTTATTAGCAATCAGATCAGAGTAGGGTAATGAGAAATAAAAATAAATCTCAAAACACCTTCCTCCCCCACCCTTCCCTTCTTCACAGGCTTAACTTCTGATTTTCTCTGCATCCTACTCTGAGTGGTGCAGGGGGACAGGGAATGGGGACTGTGGTCAGTTCATCACACGTTGCCTCTGCTGCTCCTTCCTCCTCAGGGGTTGGACTCCTCACATTCTTCCCTGCTCCAGCATGGATCTATTCCATGGGAGACAGTCCTCCAGGAACCTCTCCAGAGTGGGTCCTTCCCACAGGCTTTCTGAACTGCTCCAGACTGGGACCATTTCCATGAGGTGCAGCCCCTGAGGAACAGGCTGCTCCAGTGGGATTCCCTTTCCACGGGGTCACTCCCTCAGGAACAGGCTGCTCCAATGTGGGGTCCTTTCCATGGGGTCAGTCCTTCAGGAACAGGCTAATCCATTATGGGGTCCCTTTCCATGGGGTCAGTCCTTCAGGAACAGACTCTCTCCATGGGGACACAGGTCCTGCCAGGAGCTGTTCCAGCCTGGGCTTCCCACAGGTCACAGCCTCCTTCAGGCACCCCCCTGATCTGGTGTGGGATCTCCAGGGGCTGCAGTTGGGTCTCTGCTCCCCCATGGACCTCCCTGGGCTGCAGGGGCACAGCTGCCTCTCCTCCATGGGCTGCACCTTGGGCTGCAGGGGACCCTGGAGCACCTCCTGCCCCTCCTGCTGCACTGACTGGGGGTCTGAAGGGTTGGTTCTCTCAGATATTCTCACTCTTCTCTTCCCTGGCTGCAGTTGTGCAGGATTTTTTCCCCTTCTTAACTCTATTACCCCAGAGGCTCCACCACCATCACTGATGAGCTCAGCCTTGGCCAGTGGTAGGTGTGTCTTGGAGCTGGAATTGGCTCCACTGGACCTGGGGAAGCTTCTGGCAGCTCCTCACTGCTACCAAAACCTGGCCATGCAAACCCAATACTGTAGACTTAGGCAGATCCAAGGCTGAAGACATTTATACCATGGATTGTCCAGTGGTTTTATTTCTGGCCAGCACCCACCAACATCTGTCTGTCAAATTGCAGCAGGTAAGGTGGGGAGATAATTGTAAATCTTTGAGGAGAGGATGATGCCTCATAAAACACCATCAGAGAGGCAGTTTGTGGTGATGGAGTGACAATAAGATTCCCCAGCCTCAAAGAACAGCTCTACGAACAGGCAATTTTTCACATTTTCAGTGAATATTTGACACACTTTTAATGTGTTTTTGAATGTTTAGGTCTTGATCTAAAAATGACAGGAACTAGCTCGTTTACTTTCAGTTAATCCTGTGAGATTTAGCCTGTGGGCCAAGTTCTCCTTTGGGCTTCATGTTCTTTATCTCTGTAGATAATAAAGAGTTCTGTGAACTTCAGAGCCTGGCACTGGTGATCGGAAGAGGGATCTTTGACATCACCCTGCAGTTTTTCCTCTGTTCTTTGTTTTCTCTCTCTCACACACATGACTTTTCCTTACAAGGACATTATGTTGGTTTTGTGAGCCTGTGGGGAGGCAGAGAAGAGAAAATCAAGAGCAAGTTGTGCTGTTCTTTGCAGTTGAATCTTGATTAGACCTGGTACAACTCCAGTGCTGAACAGAGACTTGCACTCAGCAGTATGACAGACTCAGTTTTTAAATACAAAGCACACTGGTAGGTAAAGATCAGAACTTTAATAAGCATTCCAGCATTATTCCTACGTATCTCTGCTAATTTTATATTTTTTAAGAAGTCTCAGCAGCACAGGCAGAGCACTGTAGGTATCTTGTATTTTTTTTACTCACTAGTTTCACCCTCTCCTATTTCTACTTCCCCTTAGTAATCCTGTGAGAAGCCTCCCATATTTACTTTTAATTTTTTTGTGGACAGGGAGTCTCACTTCAGTTTCTGTCTGATCCTGGGAACAATCCTCGAGGTTTCTATCCCAATGTGGGGTTTTTTTTTGAAGAAGAATCCCTTTCTGTTCCTAAGTCAGAAACGTTTAATGTTCCTCTTTCACTGCTCTGGTCTCACCCAAACACTTCCCTTTGAAAGATGCACATTTTTGCACAGTAATGCTTTGTTGTGCATTTCTATGAAGTCCATTGAGAAGAACAAAACACCATCCAAAACGCTGCTATTCTCGTTCAGCAGGAAGTGTTCTTTGCATTACTTAAATAGCAGGTTGCCAGTTTTTTGTCATTTTGATTACTCTGGAACAAAAGACAGACATGGAGCTCGCCTTGGCAGGGATTTAACTTAACTTGTTGCTTTTTAACTCCGAAGAGAAAATAAAAGGGCTCTAGAGATGGCTTTGTGGTAGCATTTTGCTGTCCCAGTGAGGTCATGGAGAAGCTCCACAGAGCTGCAGTGTGTTGCTCTCCCGGCTATTTGCCTTTTCCACTGGGAATATGGGACTGTGTGAGACCCCAGCACGGAGTAGACGTGGAAAGACAGGAGAAATTACGGATAATCCTGCTCAAAACTTGGTAGAAATGAGGCTTTTGTGTCTAATCTACCTGAGAAGAAAGAACTACCTGTCATAGGAGCATCAATCCATCATTTTTATCCTGTTGCTCTGGCAGGTGGGAATGGAATTCCGAAGGGCCGTGCATCAGTCAGCTCAGTTTTGATGGCTGCTTTCTTGCAGGAGCGTCAGAAGCAGCTGGAAAGCCTTGGCATATCCCTTCAGTCTTCTGGAATAAAAGTTGGGGATAATAAGTGCTTCCTGGTTAATTTGAATGCAGATCCAGCTCTCAATGAACTTCTGGTGTACTATTTAAAGGTAAATATATTAGAATTTATTAAATTTAAATTAAATATTAAATCTATTAAAAATATGATATAAATAATACTTACATAAATAATATTTTAAATATACTTTTTAATGGTAGAAGTGGGCCTCTAATGCCATTGGCAGAGGTGTATTTAGAGAGTTCTATAAAAACAGTATATGTAAAGATATTAAAAATACGTGCATATTCAAATTAATATGAGTGCAACCTTTTTATTTCAAATTTAATTTTTCATGGCAGAGGAAAGTTTAGGAATTTATGTTGTTGTTTTGTTTCTGTTTGGGGTTTCTTTGAAAGAAATCTAGATGTGTTCTTTTTTGAAAAACTGTCTCCTGTTTTGGGATTTTTTTGGGGGGGTTTTTTTGTTGGTTGGTTTTTTTATGCCAACTCCCACAAGCATTTTCCCATAAAATTGTTTTGTACATGCATTGGGCATATCAGTAATCAGCTTCTGCACTTGTAGTCCAAATTCTGAGTGCTGTCTTCAGTTTATAAAATGCCTTTTTAATCCTCTTCATGCAGCTTGTCAGGAGTAAAAATCAAGCTCTATTCTGCCTCAGCACTTCTGTTGATGTACAGCCCCTGTTTCTGATATTAAACATGAAACACATGACTTTTTAGCTCTGTACTGAAACATTTGGGTGGTTTATTTTGGTTTTTACAAATTATAGGTGTGGGACTCAGGAGGAGAAACGAGGTACAACCATTTTTAAGTCACATTTTGGAGTGAAAGTTCTAAAAGTTTAGCAGTGAAAATCCGCAGTTTGAGCTTCACATTAAATCATTCTCTTCCCTTTGAAGTGGTCTGTAGTAACTCTCAAAACAGCCACAAAATCAGCAATCAGGCTGAAAGATGGTTTTGGTTTAGTCAGTCTTGGGAAGTACCTGATCCCCTTTCAGATCAGTCATCATGGCTCTGTGATATCTCAGTAAAAATGAGGGAAGGAACTTTTTCAACGTTGTAGCTGCTAAAAAAAACCCCAACTTTTAAAAAGGACAACAGAGCTGAGGTTTTTGGAGAAGAGTGGAATCTTTCCCAGGTGCCTTGTCCATACATGTCCAGAGTGGGACTCAGCTGCTAATTCAGCCTGGACAGTGGCAGATGTTGAGGCAGAGCCCAGTTCTCCCACTGGTCACTGGGAACAAGACCCTCCAAAGGCAAAGCCTGCTCAGAAAACAAGCCTTGGCCCACCAGTACCAGCAGGAAAGTCTCAGGTGGTTCTGTGTTGCTTTCCTTTTCTTGGGAAAACTCCTTGGAGTAGATTTTGTCTACTTCAGTTAGTTGTGCTTTATTATTTTTTTTAAACAACTCAATTTTAGTTGAACATTTTGCTGTAGAAACTCCCATTCTTTGTAATTCTTTTGATGAAGTGATTTAGACCCGGTTTTCCTAAAATCCTGAGATTAAAGTCAGAGTCTGCTGCCCACATTCCCTTTAATGCTGAGCTGTGTATGCACTGGGTCTGACAACTACTGAAATACAGACTTGAACTGACCTGTCTCTTATATCTGTTCCCTAAAAATTACTTAGAGATGCCTAAAAAAGAAATTTCAGCCCCAAAAGGATTGTCCAGCCCTGGCACAGCTGCCCAGGGCAGCGATGGAGTCACCATCCCTGTAGGGATTTAAAAGCCTCGTGGATGTGGCATTTGGGGACATGGGTTAGTGGTGGCCTTGGCAGTGCTGGGGGAACAGTTGGGACTTGATGCTAAGGTCTTTTCCAACCTAAATTATTCTCTGATTCTGAGTGTGGAGTGATCCTTTGTCTGCCAAATCCCTCATGCCTCAAGTACTTCAGGAATTTCTTTCCTAAGCTGTTGCTGATGCAATAGCCATGGATCTGTGAACCTCTCTTAATTCCTCTTTGCAGTTCTCTATACCTTTGGCTTGTACAACATCCCAAAACACTGAATTCCACAATTAAATTATAAAAACCTCTTCCTTTTTGGATTTAACTGTTGCCTGTAAACTTTCCTGAGTGCTCCCTGCTTGCTACTGGAAGACAAAGCATTGATTTACTTCCAATGCTTCCTTCTTTTTTCCTCTAAGGGAAGTATTAAAGAGCTGTCCAATTTTGGAACTAGGTGACAAGATACATCCAGAAGGAGATAGAACTGGTGAACTTTTGCAATCCATTGCTAATGTCTGAATTAATTTTTCCCCAGGAGCACACGTTAATAGGCTCAGACAACTCCCAGGATATCCAGCTATGTGGAATGGGAATTCTTCCTGAGCACTGCATCATAGACATCACCCCGGAAGGCCAGGTTATGTTAACCCCTCAAAAAAATACCAGGTAAAGTTAAAAACCACAGCTCCAGTTGTATAATAATTGTCATTTCATTTAGTATAGTTAGTATATTACGATTAGCGGTGCGAAAAGATACTTGGAAAATTAACTTTTTTATCTGTCCTGAAGCAAGAAAATTCTGCTTCTTGTATCCTGCTTTTACATTTTAATTGTCACCTACCTCTCTCTCAGTTCTCAATTCATATGTTTCATTCTAATGAGATTTCTCTCAGGGAGGGTGTTTGTAGCCAGAGTTTTCAAAGAGCGGATGAGTAAATTGCATGTGCTTTCAACAAGTAGATACTCCCTGATTTGCAGCTGCAGAGATGTAACTCCATCAAAATTTGAATTAATTTTCTAGGAAATCTGTTGATATGCAAAGAGCTGCTGAAGCATTTGTTGCTTTATTTGATTAGGTAGCACTACTTGAGAAGCAGATGGTATATTCAAATTGATCACAAGATGACATGCAGTGTCAGCATCTCCAGTAATTTCTCGTTAACTCACAAAATTCACCCTTCTCATTGACTCACAAAATTCACATTTACCCTGAGCTGTAGCTGATCCTGCTTGGAGCAGATTGGAGTGGATGGCACCCTGAGATTCCCTTCAAATTTGAGTAATCCTGCAGTTCTATTTTCAAACTTAATCTGACTCTGAAATAAAAGTAGTTTCTGATTGTTTTTATTAGTTTTTAAGCTAAGTTTTTATTAGTCTTTAAGCTATTTATGTAGTAAAGGTGTCTAATATTAGTCTAATTCATAAATCTCTGCTTTGTGTCTCTATTTCAAAGTAGTGTGAAAGTGTTTCTTTCTAGTGACTTTTTTTCTTTCAGGCCCTTCATTTTTAAGCTCCAATTTTACTCCCCAGACATAGGGTCATAATATCTGTAAATATACCAAAATTCATAAGCTTACGAGATCAAAAGAAGCTGAGTTTGAGGAGTGTATGAAACTCGGAAGATCAGTGAAGTTTCTGTGGATATTTTGTCTGTTTGCAAGACATAAACCTGTTCTCCTACCATTACTGGTTCCATTAAAGAAAATACTATAGGGAGGGGAAAAAATTAAGCCTTATATAGATGCATTTGCTTTAGATTTTTTTTCTTTTCACAGGACATTTGTAAATGGTTCTGCTGTCGTGTGTCCGATCCAGCTCCATCATGGAGACAGAATCCTGTGGGGAAACAACCACTTCTTCAGGTACAAAAGATATTAAAAGAGTTGTATGTTTGCACCAACCCTCTGAAATACCTAAAAGATCAGTGGATTTAAAATAATAACCTAAAACTTTGTTGTTTTCTTTTATGCTTAAAAGAAGAATCCACATAAAAAGCAAGATATCAGTTCATTATTGCCTCTAAGTTGTTTGGATGTGGAACAACTGAAAAATTTAATGATGTATAATTGATAATTAATATTAGAGTACAGAATGGATTTGTTAGTTTGGCTTCCACTCCCAAACTACACTCACTGGAGATCAACAAATTCTGAAAAGGGAAGAATCTACTGATTTAGTCGATCCACTTAATTTTTTTGTAATCTTTGAAAGCAACCCCGTGTTTCAGAGTCGAGCAATTAATAGTTCTTGAACAATTTCCCTCTTATTTGAAGGCTGAATTTGCCGAAGAAGAAAAAGAAGGCGGACCACGAGGATGAGGAGCGGGACAACTCCATGAAGTGCAGTAACAGTGTGGAGCAGCTGGATGTAGATGGAGACAATTCCAGTGAAGTGTCCAGCGAGATTAACTTCAGCTATGAATATGCCCAGATGGAAGTCACGATGAAAGCCCTGGGTAGTAATGGTAAGGAGCACCAGAAATTACTGGGAATATGAACCGAATATGAGGTTCCATCTTCAGGGACTCTCAACCACAGGCTTTTGCCCTCATAACTTCCCAGTGGAGAATTTTCCTTGGGAATGACTCGTTGCAGCCATTTTGGTGCTCGAGGAGGAAAAATATCCATGGCAGCCTGTTTGCTTTGGCAGTTCTTGTTGAGGGAAAAGCCAAAGCTGGAATACGGGTGGAGCTGCAGCCTCGAATCAAAGGGTTTTCACTTGCTTGTTTATTTTTGTTGTGTTATGTCTCACTCAGGCATTAAGTGCAGGGATTTCTGTCTCTGAAAGGATGTTCTTTAATTTTTGTGGTCTTGTGTAGCTGTCTCAGAATGGCCTTATTTTGGGAAACAGGAGGAAGGGTTTTTTCCAGCTTGGTCTGTCCCTTTTCTTAATTCTCTTAAATCATCTGTCCAGTGTGTTCTGTAGATGTTTGTTTTGCTCCACAGTTCAGCAGCATTTTTAAAATATTTTTTTAAAATGCATTTAAATATAAATAAACCACATTTTATTGTACTTTACATATTAACATGTAACTATGTAAACATTAAATGAGTAAATAACAAAATGTATGTTATTATATTTTACATATCAATATGTAAATCTATAAATTTATAGATATGTAGAAGAAATACATAATATATAAAGATATATAAATATAGATAAGAAATACATAAAATATAAATACATGTAGTATGTACGTTAATGTATAAAATAAATATTATATAATAAATATATAACTATGTGTAAAATATATAAATATAGATAAGAAATGTACTATAAAACAGACAAGTATATAAGAAAAACATAATAAAAATATAGTAGAGAATATATATTATATAAAAACATATATAATAAATAAATATTAATACTATATGTAAAAATATAAATATGTAGAAGGAATATAACTATATGTAAAATCTGTAAATATATAAGAAAATATAATAAATAAAAATTTAATAGAAAAGAAATATTATATAAAAATATACAATATCTATGTTAATATATAAAATAAATATATAGTAATGCCATATATAAAAGATATAACTATATGTAAAATATAAATATATATATAAGAAATATAACTATATGTAAAAGATATAAATATATAGAAGAAACTGATAATACATAAAATATAACATATATAAGACATATATAAGAAATATATAATATATAATAGTTGTAGTATATGGTAATGTATAAAATAAATGCTATCTATTAATTTTTTAACTAGAAGTAAAACATATAAATATTTTAAACATTTTAACATAAGCTACAACAAAAACATAATCTCTTCTTCTGCGATAACTGTGATTCCATCGCACATCCCAAGGGCGCTCCTTGACACGGATTTCACTGTGCCACCTTCTTCCTTTCCCGTTCCTGCTTAGATCCCATGCAGTCCATCCTGCAGAGCCTGGAGCAGCAGCACGAGGAGGAGAAGAGATCTGCTCTGGAGAGGCAGAGGCTGATGTACGAGCACGAGCTGGAGCAGCTGCGGAGGCGGCTGTCGCCGGAGAAGCAGCATTTCCGCAGCATGGAGCGCTTCTCCTTCCACTCTCCCAGCGCCCAGCAGCGCCTGAGGCAGTGGGCAGAGGAGAGGTGGGTCAGCACATCTCACCAGCCAGCAGTGCTCGGGCAAAGTTCTCCAGTGCTGCTGAATTTTGGAAGGTTTTAGTTGTGTTGCGAAGCTCTGATGTGCTTCTGACAGGACTCCGGCTAAAATATTAGTTTAAGAGTTGTAGAATGATTGAACAGTTTGGGTCGGAAGGCACCTTAAAGGTCATCTCATTCCAACCCCCTGCCGTGAGCAGGGACACCTTCCACTAGAGCAGCTCCAACACCTCCAGAATAATCAGATTTATAATGGTGGAAAAGCCAAGAAAGAATGAGTTCCTGCTTTGTGATTAAGGACAAACTCTATCCTGTTCAGCAACCAATTTGACTAAAGATGAGGTGATTGGAAGAAGTTTTGAGACTCCCCTATGAGTTTGTTTTCTGTGGATCATGACTCAGCTACTGGAAGGTTGTTTTTCCTCTTGGCTTGGGTCTGTCTGACCTGGCAACCACAGGAGTGCAGAAAGAAAAGGGAGTAAGAGGATGACACAAAGAATTTTAAATCAGAACATTGCCAAAACAGTTCAATAACCACAGAGGGGTCACTGTCCTCTCTGCCTCCTCCTGATGTTATTTACTTCAGGCCCCTCTGTGTTTTTTTCCAGTATTGCTGTCAAAAAGAGCAGCAGTGGAAGGAAGATGAAAGGTACCCTAAATCCATGAGTATAAAAAAGAGACTGTCATGAGAAAATACAAATCTAATATATAGGGCTAGAAAAGCAACTTTTGAAGTAGAAAATGTTTGAGACAGTCTAACAAGGTGTGTGGCTGGAATATTCTGTGGTTCCAAATTCCTATGCTGCACAGTTGACTCTCAGACTTGCCAGGAAGGCCAGTGAGCAAGTGGGTCATGTTGTCTGAATAAACCTTTCTCTGTAAGATGGAACATCCACAGCTGTGGTGGGAAGGCTCTGGAATGAGCCACACAATAGCTGGCTGTTCAGCAGATGCATGGAGAAGTCTCCAAAGCCAGCAGTATCCTAATTTTAATACTGCTAAATTCATAGTGATAATTCTTTTTTCCAGAAGAAATTTAATTTAATTCACCTGATTTTTGTGTTAAAAGTCATAGAATGGTTTGGGTTGGAAGAGACCTTAAAGCTCATCCTATTCCATACCCTACCACAGGCAGGGACACCTTCCACTATCCCAGGTTGCTCCAAGCCCTGTCCAACCTGGCCTTGGACACTTTCAGGGATGGGGCAGCCACAGCTTCTCTGGGCAACCTGTGCCAGGGCCTCAGTGCCCTCACAGAGAAGGATTTCTTCCCATTATCCCATCTAACCCTGTCCTGTTTCAGTGGGAAGCCATTCCCTGTGTCCTGTCCCTCCATCCTTTGTCCCAAATCCCTCTCCAGCTCTCCTGGAGCCCCTTTAGGCACTGGAAGGGGCTCTAAGGTCTCCCAGGATCCTTCTCTTTCCCTGGTGAACACCCCCAGCTCTCTCAGCCTATCTCCAGAGCAGAGGGACTTCAGCCCTTGGAGGAGATTCTTGTCCTCCTCTGGATTCATTCCAGCATCTCCATGTCCTCCTGATATTGAGAGTCTCAGAGCTAGAGACTGGTGTGTTGTGCAGGACCCTGTTAAGTGCTTTGCACAAGTTCAGGTGGTTGACATCAGTTGCTCTTCTCTCATCCCTCACCTCAGTATCCCCATTGTACAGGGCCACCAGATTTTTCAGGCATGATTTGCCCTTAGTGGAGCCACACTGGCTGTCACCAGTCACCTCCTTATCTTCCATGTGCCTTAGCACAGCTTCCAGGAGCATCTGCTCCATGATCTTCTCTGGGTCTTCCTTATTTCCCTTTTTAAAATTGGGAATTATGTTTCCCCTTTTCCAGTCAGTAGGAACTTCACCAGACTGCTACAGCTTCTCAAATATGATGGACAGTGTCTTAGCCACTAAATCCATCAGTTCCCTCAGAACCCACAGGTGGATTTCATCAGCTCCCATGGATTTGTGCTCCTTTATGTTCCTTAGATGGTCTCAAACCTGATCTTCTCCTGCTGTGGATGGTTCATCATCCTCCCAGTCCCTGCTTTCACCTTCCTGTAACTTGGATGGAACACTTGATTGATGGGGAAGACCAAGGCAGAAGAGCTATTGAGTTACCTGAACCTTCTCCATGTCCTGGGTAACCAGGTCTCCTGCTTCTTTCCAAGAGGCCCCACATTTTCCTTAGTCTTCCTCTATACAGGAGCTCTTCTTGTCCTTGACATCCCTGGCCAGGTTTAATTCTGTCAGGACTTCAGCTTTCCTAACCTGATTCCTGTTTGCGCTGACAGATTGTCTGTATTCCTCCCAGGCTACTTGTCCTTGCTTTCACCCTCTGTGGAATTCATTTTATGTTTGAGTTGGTCCAGAAGCTCCTTGTTCATCCACACAGACCTCCTGGCATTTTTGCCTGGCTGCCTCTTCCTCGGGATGCATCGCTCCTGAGCTTGGAGGAGACAATCCTTGAATATCAACCAGCTTCCCTGGGCTCCTCTTCCCTCCAGGGCGTTATCCCCTGTGATTCTACTAAGCAGATCCCTGAAGAGGGCAAAGTTTGCTCTCCTAGGATCATGAGCTTGCCTAAGGATCTGGAATTCCCACCAATTCATGGTCACTGCAGCCCAGGCTGCCCTTGAGCATTGCATTCCTCACCAGCCTCTCCTTGCTGATGAGAACAATGTCCAGCAGGGCACCTCTCCTTCTTGGCTCCTCTGTCATTTGGAGAAAGAAGTTACCACCAAGATGTTCCAGGAACCTCCTGGATTGCTTATGTTGCATTTTCCCTCCAACAGATATCGGGGTGGATGAACTCCCTCCACTATAATGTCACCTGTCCCTTCCCTGCCTTTAATCCTCACCCATAAGCTCCCAGTTGGCTCCTCATCCCTTTTATTTTGCACCCAGTTTCAGTACTTAAGTAGCATGATTTTTCCTGTCTCCCACTCCCCTTCTTTCAGAGAAGAAATGTTGACCCACAGCCTGAGGAAGCTGCGAGAGCAGATTGTTAAAGCCAATTTGTACGTGAGAGAAGCCAATTTTATCGGAGAGGAACTGGACAAGAGGACAGAGTACAAAGTGACCCTCCAGATCCCAGCTTCAAGCCTTAATGCCAACAGTAAGGTAAGGTCACCCTGGTTGGGATTAAATTGTTGTTTAGTAAGTTTGCCTCTTATTGTTTGTATTTCTTTTATTTTGATTTTATTGATGGAGATATTTCGCCAGTCACATGCATTAAATATGGCTCTGTCAGTCCATGCTACATCCTTATATTATTTTAGACCATGAAAATCCTATAATGTGCCATAAATGATAAACACAAGACCTTTCCTCTGGTCTTCACACTTGCTTCTGTTGCAGAGTGACGAAATCTGTGCAGGTTGGGTACCGTCTATTTCAAGTGTTTACCATCATTTTGTGGACATTTGACTTTGCATCATCCCAGTGAGCTGTGAAAATGCTGCCACCCCCGTTGTGGAGGGAGCACCTGGAGCAGAGAGGATTTGGATTATTTGTTCTCTGGCATCTTAGAAATTTTGGAAGGAGGGAGCTGAACCCACACTTCCCTGTCTCAGTCTGGCTGCCTAAGCTGGTGTTATTTCTGTGCTTCAAGTCGGTATTTTGGTGATACTCAGGCCATTGTTAGTACAGTACCTGGATTTTACTCCAGGTTTATAATTTTTATCAGTTGTTTTAGAAGTTTTTTAGGAGTTTTTCTCACAGCCCTCTGGAGAAGACACATCCAGAGACAGGATGATGAAGGGGGTTAAGTGTCTGCACTAATTGAAAGTTGGAGGCAGTAGTAACTTTAGTTGGAACTCCAGGCCTGCTGTAACTTGAGGATATTTGTGAAATGCTTAAATGTTCCCATTTCTAACACTTATGCAAGGTGAAAATCCAGGGAAACTAGTGCCTGTAGCTGTGATTAGATTCCCAGTTAAAGTGAACACAAATACACTGTGACAGCTGAACTCAGAGTCTGTCACACTCAGATTTGATTGCTCAAACCAGAACAAAAAAAGAACAGACTTTTCCCAAAGATATTACTCAACTTAGTGTTAGTTTTAAACTATTTTTGCCTTGCTGTGACACACAAATGCCTCACTGATATCTCTTTAATTGTTTCCCAGAGAGGTGCAATTCTCAGCGAGCCCGCTATCCAGGTGAGAAGGAAAGGGAAAGGCAAACAGATTTGGTCACTGGAAAAGCTGGAGAATCGACTGGTGGATATGAGGGATCTTTACCAGGAGTGGAAAGACTGTGAGGAAGACAACCCAGTAAGTAGAAATTAACTCCAGTCATTGTTCTGATGGAATTAATATCCCTGTTAAATTTTCAAGAGGCGGGTTGGGTGGAGGTGAGGAGTGAATATGGAAAGAGCTGAGTTTTCCTGAGGTTTTGCTTTTCCTGGTACTGAAGGGATCTTCAACATTTCATTCACACTTACCTTGTCACTTTGATGCCTGTTTGCATGCACAGTTTGGTGACAGAACAAAGCACATAATAAGAAGCAGTAAGTAACACAACAGCAGTTAATGTTCAGGAATCTGACAAAGTTAAGGGGAACTTGCTGAGGATGGGCCTTATCCAAAGTAAAATTCTTTCCCTTTCTTCCTGTGATCTGATCTGGCCTCTTGCTTGAGCCCCTTTTTCTTTCACCAGGCTGGTTGTGCAACACTCTGGGAAGTGTTTCATGAGTAGTTTGGTTTCCTTGTGAATTTGCTTGCAGGTGATGAGATCTTACTTCAGGAGAGCTGACCCGTTCTACGACGAGCAGGAGAACCACAGCCTTATTGGAGTAGCCAATGTTTTCCTTGAGTGCCTGTTCTATGATGTGAAGCTGCAATATGCAGTTCCAATCATCAATCAGAAGGGAGAGGTTGGTCATTCTCCTATGATCTATCCTTACTCAACTGTTTAATTACAGCCTGTGGGTCTTATTGCCAGTATATGGTAAATACTTTCCAGTTTTGTGTGCACAAGCTCTCTGCTAACAATGTGGAATTATGCAAGTCCTGTAATACCTGGCTGTTGCTCTGAATCCCAGCACAGTGATTGTGAAAGGAGAAGGCTTTGTGAGCATCTTTTTGAGTGAAATAGCCTCAGATAAATAGTAGAACAAGCATGAGCTGTAGCTCCACTGGTTTCACTGGCTGCCATCAAGAGTAGGTTTTTAAATATATACTGTGAGAACAACTTCAGAGGCAGCAGAGCATCCCAGGCAACATCCCCTGTGCTCTGCCTCATGTGTGCACTTTGCAGACTCTCTAGAGACTGGTTTGAAGGTGAGATTGTTCCCAAAGTCACTCCAGTTGCTGATTTCTTTATGGTTTTTACAACAAAGGCTCTTTGATTCTTGCTCCAAAGCAAGTTCTTCGTGTGGTGCAACAAATGCAATAAAAAAAGGATTAAATGTTGGCTGCTTACAGACTAGGAACAGCAGTGGTTGTAGAAGGGGATGAACTTGGCACTGTTTTCTGGCACACAAGTCATTTTTCCTCCTCTCTTACCAGGTGTCAGGTCGTCTCCACGTTGAAGTTGTTCGGGTGAGTGGAGAGATCGACGACAGGCTGGTGGGAGGTGAGGACAGTCCTGACTGTTCCAGTGAAAACGATGTTCAGGAGAGAAAACTTGTCTGCAGGGTGAGTTCCAGGTGTATCCCACCCTCTGAGCAACCTTCTCTCTTTCCATCCCAAGTCTTAAAGGACTTCTTGGCTTCTTCTGGCTGTTGGATGTCTCTTTGTAACCTTGTCTCTTTGTAATAATGCAAGATAATTAGATGGTTTTTAGTCCTTTCATTTAACTGTGTTTAAATGCTAAAATCTCACCCCAGGAAGTTTATTGCAGTCTTGGAAGCCATGGAAGATTCTGTGCACTAGGATTGGTGCTGTAATAGTTAATTGAAAAGGAGTCATAGAATGTGATAAACTCCCATTGTTTTGTGAATCATTCTCTCTCAATGTTTCTTTCTTTAAACATTAAATATTTTGTGAAATTTATACAGGGTGTTTATTACTGTTAGTAATAAAAAGAAAATTAATAGGAAGTATTTACCAGCAGTTCTGTGCTGTAGTAAAACACAAGGTAGACCAAGCTACAGGTAAAAAAGGCAAGAGGCCAAAAGAATTAGAGGGAGTGGTCCCCAACCTTGCTGACTTCTGGACAATATGAACAATTAGGGAGAAATTGTACTTTTTTTTCCCCACTTTTTTATCCTGTTCCACAGAACTCCATGTCCTTGCAAGGAGGATGGGCCATTGTGGCAGGAAACATTCCCCTGAGGATCCTGAGTGCTGCCTTGCTATGGAAGTCTTAACTAATTTTGGACTTGATCTTGACAAATGTAGAATAGAGGTTTATTAAATACATGGTTAATTTGATGGCCTTGTTTAGATCAGAATGAGTATTCAAAACCTTTTGTTTCTATTTGGCTTTAGTTTTGAAAAAGAGGGGACAGGCTACTTTTGTATTGTTGGGGTTGGTTTTGTGTTGTTTCCTGAATCACGGAATAAGGACAAGCAGTGTTTTAAACCAAGGATTTTTGGAGAATAAAGGAGCCAATTTTGGTGGAAATAGGAGATTTTTATTGTATTCCTCTTCAGTGACAATGTTTTTGGTGTACATTTCACCGTGAAAAAATAATAAAATGTTTTGGTGTGTTTGTAAAATTCATCCCTTCAGTTTTTACTCCCAAGAAATATGAGCCTGGTGACATCTAGTGACAGCGTTCAACAGCTGCACTCAAATATTGTCTTCAATGAGTATCAGTGCAAAAATTCTGTTTTCTAATAGGTTTTGCCTTGCTGCTTTAATTTTTTTGTTATCCTTTGCAGTGGAACCAACTAACATTGTCCTACCAGGAGATATTTTTCATTCCATGCCTAATGAGTAAATGCTTTTCCTGTGTTTTCTCGTCTCTCTTCTAGATTAAAATACTTCAAGCTACAGGTTTGCCACAGCACCTCTCCAACTTTGTGTTCTGCAAATACACATTCTGGGATCAACTGGAGCCTGTCAGTGTTGCACCTGAGGTGGATCCTTCCCAGTCCTCCATCAGCAAGGAGCCACGGTGCATGGTGGTCTTTGATCACTGCAATGTAATGAAATTTCCTGTTTTATTAATGAAGCTCTAAGGCAGGCAAAGCAGGTTTATGCTTCTGTAACACTTTTAGTTGCCTCTTTGCTCACATTGTAATATTTCAGGAGGTTGGTACCCTTCTAATACCATTTTTAATAAGGACTTAAACATCTTCAAGAGTCCATTTAAGTTTGATTCTTCTACACTGTTCACCTGGACAAAAGTCAGAGGTGAAGTGAATTAATAAAGGAAAACATCTGTTCAGCAGAGAGATTTAGGTTCAAGTTTACCCACAGTAAAAATTCAGTGTGATTGGAGGACATATTCATGTTAAGTCCATTTGATGTTTATAACTGAGCTGATCACTCTACACTGATGTAATGGAGAGAAATGTCCCAGGCCTGGGACATGATCCCTGTTATCCTGATGTTGAAGTTGGATTGTTAGAAGTTAGAACAGGCTATTTCTTCCCATTGCCTTTGGAGCAGCTGAGTGGAGGCATCTTTAATAGGGACATCTAAAGTCAGGTTGGATGAATCCCAGCCAAATCACCCCAGTTCTTCTCATCATGTTCTATCATTTCTCATTACAGTGAGCAATTTATTCCACTTATCATTCATGAAATAGATATAACACCTTCTGATGAGTTTTGATTTTCAGATTCTGAACATTCATTATTTTTGAACTGGTGGATCAGGGCTTGGAACAGCCTGTGGTCATTTTTCATCTCTTCATGGACTTTAATCTTTGGAAAATCATGTACCTTTGCTTTACCTCCTGATCTTACAAACTGAGGTGGCATCTCTTCCTTTCCTCTAAATTGTGTTTTGGGCACCAGGGTGACTTTGTTTAAGTGCTTATATTAAAGTCAGGGCAGTAAATCTCACAGCCTAAAGTTGTGTGGTCACAGTCATCAACCCATTTGTCCCTCACAGGAAGTTTCTGTCAACATTTCTGAAGACTTCATGGAACACCTCTATGATGGTGCTTTGGCCATTGAGGTTTATGGGCACAAGCAGAGTGGTGACCGCAAAAATCCAGCCCTGTGGGATTTGGGAATAATTCAGGCCAAAACACGCAGCCTCCGTGACAGGTAAATATGGAAAACGGATCCTTAGGTTGGAATTGTGGAAGAATCACTGGCTGAGGAGCCTGGTTTTGAAACAGGTTTGGGGTAAGGAATCAAATTCTGAACTGAAGACCGACGTGAATCCATTAATTCTTGGCCATGAAATGCCATCCCTGTAATGCTTCCATTGGAACAGTTGTATTGCTTATTGTTTCAATTGGAATAAATATGCAAACAATATGGTAATTCAGCCTGAAAGAAGGGGTTGCTTGTTTGCTGGCAACCATTTGTTGTCCCAAAAATAAACTTGTAGTAGCATTTTCTTAAATGTGAGTTGGTTTGCCTCTCCAACTAGAAGGCAGCTCTGCATCTTAATTTATTGGCAGTTATTTCTCTTTTTACTTCCAGCTTGTTGTTGAGCATGTTGAGTATTAAGCTGTATATGGGGAAGTTTAAAAGAAAAGTCAGGGATATATGGCAAAGAGAAGAGGGGAAAACATGCCATAAAATACTGAGTTATGTTTGGTAGCCGAGCAGTGAGTACCTCTGTCCTTTTGAATTTTGAAGTTCTACAGAAGTGGCCATTTCTTATTTAAGCTCCTGGAAGAGTTGGAGAGAAGGCAGTGATGTGATGAAGTTCAGGAAAGTGCTCTGAATCTTGAAAGCTTGTGAGACAATGTCATAATTCATTCTGCTGTCTCCTGTGTGCATCTGATTGCCCTGACAACACTGGGCTTCTGTGGCAGGAGTTGAGACCAGAGCTTAAAATGTGGGATTGGGGTTTGTGTTGGAATCAAGAAAAGGCTTAATTCTGATGTTTGACTAAAATATCTGTCAGGAAAATTTATAAGTACCCCTACATACTCACAAATGGTGCATCCATTGCAGTGGTCCTTTGCTGCTTCAATCTGCAGCCTGGGCTAATGCTTTGGGTTTTTTTTTTTCCTTCTTTTTTTCTCTGGGGGGGGGAGAAGAGAACCCCAAAAGAAACAATATTTTGACTTGTTCTGCAGGTGGAGTGAAGTGACCCGCAAAGTAGAACTCTGGGTTCAAATTCTGGAGCTGAATGAGAATGGGGAATATTGCCCAGTGGAGGTGACTCCTGCCAAGGATGTCAGCACAGGAGGCATCTTCCAGCTCAGGCAGGTAAGGTGGCGTTGGGCAGGATTTCAGCTGTGGGGAAAAAGCACGTGGAAAGCTGAGAAACTTGTATTTTGTGTGGGGAAGGGGTCACGTCCAAGGAGCTGTCCAAGCTCAGGTCCAAAATATGAGATTGTGTAAAACAGACAGGAGGTGCAAGAAAGTGGAATCCCTCTGCCAGTGTGAAAAATTCAGCTGTAAAGGTGATCAAAGGCTTCCCTGGAATCTTTTTGCCCTGTTCTGTGATAGCACCTGGTAGAAAGGACACCAGTCTGCACTGAACTTAATTATTTTTTAAAGAGGTCCAGAGTTCCCTTTTATTTGATCCTTCCTTTGTTCTTGGAATTCTACATGCATTAAATTGTTAATGCTTAACTGAATGGTTAACATTTTTAAATGATAAGCTATTGCCCAGAGAACACAGGGAATTAGTAAAAGTCAGATACAGGCTGCACCTCTGACCTTGCCAACTCCTTTGATTTTTATTTTCTTTATCATTATTATTATTATTTCTTTTTTTTTTTCTTTTTTTCTTTATGGTTTTACTGCAGAGCAGTTGCTTTGCTGCACTGATAGCATCAGTGGGTCAGAATTTTCAGTCAGGGAGACCAGAGTCAGGAAAAGTTCACTGAAATTCCAGTAGCTCACCAAATTATTTACACTCCTCTTTTGAAGTTAGGGAAGAGGCCCTATTTTCCACCTTCAGAAGTATTAAAAGTAAAGTCCTTTAAGTGTGTGTTTGAAAACCCTCCAGAAAAGTAAATGGGGGAGTTGCTGAATGCTGAACTATTTCTCTTTTTTTTCTGTAAATGCATAAATCCTGTAAACATAAACCAACAGAAGGGGGGATCTCTTGAACACTGGGTCATTGGGATTCCAAAACTCACCACTTTGTTCTTCCCAAAATAAAAAAAATATAATGGTTGCTTGCCAGTGGCTGCCAGTAGAGGTCTCTCTGGAATTAAACTTTCAGCACTTTATATTCCTTTTTTTTTCCCCCAAGCATTTCAAATTGTTCTTTTGGGCAGGGACAATCCCGACGGATTCAGGTGGAAGTGAAATCTGTGCAGGAATCTGGGACCTTGCCGCTGATGGAGGAGTCAATATTGTCTGTTGGCATTGGCTGTGTTCAAATAAAACGTGTCAAGTCACAAAATTATCAGGTGAGAGTGAATATTTCACGTCAGGTCTGGCTATTTCTGAGACATGCAAAGCCATAAACTGATGCTCTGCTTGCTGCAGTTGGAGTCAACTCCATATGTTTTAAGTTTGGGGGGAATATTTTTTGAGCCTACTCGAATGTATAAACCGAGGTCAAGATGAATTATCAGAACTGCTTTGATGGTGGGTTTAGGGATTATTCAGGAGCTTTAAGTTTAAAGCTCTGTCCTTCAGAAAGTGTTGTGGAAGATCTTAATCAAGATCTTAATCAAAAATCATTTTGCCTGGCAAAAAGACCACCTTCTGGGTCTTTTCTGGTTTTAGTTGGTGGTTTTTTCCTCTGTCCTTAAACACCACAGCCTTAACACACCACTCAAAGAAGCAAAGAAAATGCCAATGTTCCTAAAATTCATTAGGAGTTTGTCCTGTGGTTTGTACTGCAAATATTAGACATAGCAGTGATTTTAAGCAAGTATTCAAATTAAAATAAACCAGTAGAACATATATTCAAATAGTGTCCAGTTACAAAGGTTAGAATTACATGAGCAAGCTGTGGCCCACAGTCTGTGCTGGTCAGTTGTTTGACAACCTCACACACAACTGCACCTCATGTTAAACAGCAAATACATGGATCTCTTTTTAGGGATCGTCCTCTTGAAGTGCTCCCATCGGGTTCTGGTGCAGTTTGATTTTTTTCCCCAACAGATAAATTAAAATTCCATCACTCCTTGGAGTTAACAAGCCAAAATCTGGTGCAACAGAACGAGAAAGACTGTGGGCTTGTTTGATGAACTGCCCTGCTTGAGACAAGGCCAACTAAATGTCAAGTAGTTTATGGAAAACTGGGAGATGTCCCAAAACGTTTACACTTTTGACAGAGTATGATTCAATCCATGTCTGCTCCCCTTTTTTTTTTTTTTTCTGAATTATTATGGCTTTTCCTTTGAGATTGGTACTTGGGGTTTTTGTTGCCTCTTAACCTGAGCATTCCCTTCCCCTTATGTGTCAGGGGCGAAATAAAAAGGGATTTTTTTCCTAATTTTGCAGAAATCTCCCTTTCCAGCAGCATCCTGAGCAAATTATTGCTGTTATTCCCCATTATTCTTCTCCTAGTGACTCTGCCTGCAGCCTTTCCATCACAGCAGTCCCTCATACCCACATTTCCTTCCTATAAAATAAGGAAACTCCTGAATGGAGCAAGTTTCCCTCCTGAGGCAGAATGATTGATTCTTCCATATTTCCCTTGAGAGCTCTCACAGACCCACAATGTACAAGTGCCCCTTTTAGCCTGGTTTGTAAGGACAGGTCCCAGGTGAGCATCCCCTCTGCCTCACCCTGTGAATTCCTGATCCATTGACCACTTTCAACCTCATCCCACAGAGCTGCCAATCCCCAAAATAGTACATTTTTTTTCAAAAAGGAACACTTAAAACTCCACTTGAGAGAGAGGGAGACTAGTGAGTTGTGCCTGACACTGATAACCCCCTGGGAAAGGGCCATTGAAAGCCAGGTTTTATTAGCCCTGCTGCTCACAATGGCCTTCAGACCTGAGCACCTGGATTCTTAGTCCCCTTATTAGCATTTCTCTTATCTCAAGTAAATCACTGTCTGTGGAATGTGAAAGATATTCTTAAGACCTTGAACTGAGGAAATGCCTCTTCTATATGGCTTTTTAATTTTAGCTTAGCTAAGTTTTTGCTTTCATTATTAAGACACAAAAGTAGACTCCAGGGGCTTGTTATTACTTAAATAGATAAGTGATAACTCCGGGAGGATTGGAGCCCTCATTCCTTTTCCATTCACTGTGAGGAGGGCCAGTTGTGCTCAGTGCAGGTGGCTCTGCCTGTGGTGAAGGTCGAGGATTAAAGTTGATGTCTGCCATCAGAAAAGAATGGAAATAAAATATTGAAGGTCTGCTTGGTGACTCCTGCTGTGGCTGTCATTCCAACTCCCTGATAATTCACGAAGATGTTTGCAGTTCTTCTCCTTTAAATGCTACAGCAAACTTGCCTCGAATCCTTTGTACACACCTTGAATTCCTGGGGGCAGTTTTGGGCCCCTCACTGACAAGAGAGACATGGAGGGGCTGGAGGGAAGGGAACGGAGCTGGGAAGGGGCTGGAGCAGCAGGAGTGGCTGAAGGAGCTGGGGGGGCTCAGCCTGGAGAAAAGAGGGATCAGGAGGGACCTTTTCCAGCCCCACAACTTTCTGACAGGAGGGAGGACCTGGGACCCTGCTCCCAGGGAACAAGGGACAGGACAAAGGGAAACGGCCTCCAGCTGTGCCAGGGGAGGGTCAGGTTGGATATTGGGAACAATTCCTTCATGGAAAGGGTTGCCCAGCCCTGGCACAGCTGCCCAGGGCAGTGGTGGAGTCCCTGTCCCTGGAAATGTTCAAAAATAGCGTGACTGTGACACTTGAGGACGTGGTTTATTGGTGAACATGGTGGTGGTGCTGTTTGAGGGTTGGATTTGGTCTTAAAGACCTTTTCCAGCTTTAAAAATTCCATGATTCTGTGATTCTACGCCAGACTGTGATTTTTCAGCACTTACTGTGACATTCACATTTTTCCTGCCTGTCCAGGATCAACAGGTTTCAAGCTGATTCACTACAATTCCTGTGTCTTCTTAGTGCAATTTAAGTATTCCACTTGCTTTCAGTTGTTAAGACTTCTAATAATTTTATTACTCTGAATTTCTCCATTATAATTGTTGGATTGTACTAGTTTAAGTTTAGATGAGCTGATAGCAGCAAATGTCAGTGTGTTTTAATTCTGTGATCATACCATTTGCTAAGCTCACATTATATAAGACTGCAAAAATTGCTTAAAGCAGTTACACCTTTTGCATTCAGTGTAGTTTCCTGCTATCAAAACCCAAATATTAATAGCATGGTTTTGTATGTTTTGGCCTAGGAAGAAGAGGATGAAATGGACAGTTATCAGGTAAAAATTTTAAATTCTGTCTCACAAACGCGGGCATTTTCAGACTAAAAAATGTTAGAGGAGGATCAGCATTTTATTGAAATGCAGAAGAGACTGAAAGCTTAGGAACTGTGTAGATTGTCATGCTCCAAAGCCTATGGTGGATGAGAGAGATGCCATAATGTGTATTTACAATCCAAGATCCAGTTGCTTTTTGGTTTGGGGGTTTTGGGGGGAACTGCTGGGGCAGGGATGGATTCCTAATAGGAGGAAACAGTGGGAGTGGTGGGTCTTGGATAACAACTGGGGTTTCCAGCTTTGCCCACAAGGTAGTGGTTAGTGAGTTTTGGAGTAGTTTGGGGGCAAAGAAAGAAAGTTCTTATACAGTTATTATACAAAGAACTGTATAAAGTTAAGTTTTTTTACCTGGATAGTACAGAAAAACAGCAAGAGAAAGAGGTGCCTTGGGCTGACAAGCAAAAATACTTCAAATAAGATGTGGAAAGTTAAAGGATTTGGATCTTTGAAGACAGAATAAGAGAACTGGAGTTGTTTAACCTTGAGGAGGGATCTTGTCTATGTAAATGGGAAGGGATAAAAAAGACAGACCCAAGGTGGAATCCAGAGTGGAATCTGGGAAAGGACAAGAAGCCAGGAGTCTCCACATTAGAAACTTCTGTTATTTATTATTTTACTATGATGGTGGTGGTCAAACACCAGAACATGTTGCCAGGAGAGGTTATGGAGTTTCCAACCTTGGGGATTTGCAAATCCCAGCTGGACACAGCTCTGAGCAAGCTGCTGTGGTTGACCCTGCTTTGGACACAGGAGAGTTGGAAAATCTCCAGAGGTCCCTTCCAACCTCAGCTTCTCTCGCGTTTCTGTGCCAAGGAAAACAGGGAAGAGCAAAGGGATTAACTGGAGGTCTACTCTGTCTTCCTGATCCATTTCTTGGGTGCAGGATGAGCAGAAGGGTTGGGGGGAATGTGTAAGCTACAGATACGAAATCTTGGCTTTCCTGGGTCAGTATTTAAGATGATTCCTTTCCCCCCCTTTGCAGGACAGGGACTTGGAGAGGCTCCGTCGGAAGTGGCTCTGTGCCTTAACGAAGCGTCAGGAATATCTGGATCAGCAACTGCAGAAACTTGTTGGGAAGCCTGGTAAGGAAAATGCTGTTCAGGGTAAGAGGAGTGATGGGTGGGGAGACATGCACACACTTTTCATCTTGATGTAGTGTAAAATTTAGAAAAGAATTTAATGGAGAGTTAAACATCTGAACTCAGTGATTTGCTTTCAGTGAAACCAAAGTCTGTATGGAATTGGTTGTTGTTCTTGTGGGTTCCTTTGTGTGCTGAATTCTGAGCAGAGCGGGGTTTCTTCTGTTCTGGGTGGTGTAAAATCATCAGCACGTGGTAGAGGCACTAAGAGCTGCTCTCTGTTGACATCCTGCTTCTCCAGATAAAACAGAAGATGATGCAGATCGGGAGGCTCAGCTCTTGGAGATGAGGTTGACCCTCACAGAGGAAAGGAATGCTGTGATGGTCCCTTCTGCTGGCAGTGGCATCCCTGGAGCTCCAGCAGAGTGGTATGAGCACACATTGCCATGGGAGGAGTGTAAAGATGATGCACTGAGCATTCCTGCCTTGGGCTGTGGCCAGTTTTTGCTTTCCTCAATCTGGCCCCTGTTCACTGTATGAGCAAAGCTGTTAAAATTAGGCCTCTTGCTTAAATTATTTTATTGGGTTGTGTATCTGAAATGCAGAAATGCTGTTTGGTAAAGGATACTGCTATTGATCAGGGTGTAATTATAACCTTCTGGAAAAAAAAGGAATCAATATTTATTACCACCGCACTTACCATTTTAAAAAATTAGCTAATATGTTAATTACCTGGTTCATTCACTTAAAAGGCTGCTCCCTCCGAATAAAACTGCATCTCCAGGAGCATTTTGTTGTGCTGCTGGTTTGAGAACAAACTCTGTTTAGTCAGCAAGTGTTCCATGTAATTTTCTAAACTTTAAAAATAGTGGAGAACACTTGACTGTAACTGCTGAGCTGTATCAGCTGCGAGGAACAACTGCAGATAAGGATTCGGGGTTGTTTCACCTCAAACCTCGTCTTCAGTCGCTTTCAACTTCCTGAATATCTTTCCTGAGCAAACCTTTAGCAGTATTTATTGATGGAATTGAGTGTTGTGGAGTTTTAAGCTGGAGTTTGTTAAAGCCAGCGCTGCTAAAACCTAAAAATAGCAAATTCTTGTTGGAAACAAATCAACTTTCACATCAAAGTGTTGGAGTGGGTTTGAAAACAATGAAATATTCAGTATGATTCAAGCACCTTCTATATTACATAAGGCTCCAACCTGCTCTTGTTCACCATAAATTCATCAAGTTTATCATGAAAAGCCTGAAAAGTCTTTTGTGCCTCATGTTACATTTCTAGTACCTTATTAATACTGTGTAGCTTAGTTTTTCATTCTAAAAACACACAAAACACCACCTCTGTAACCCCTTCTTCCATGATATGAAAGATGCCTTAAATAGCAGGTTTGGCTCTTAAATCTGTGTTTTGTAAGGTTGAGTAATAACTGTGTAGGGTGGCAGCATCAATGTTAGTTTAAGAACTTTAAGACTGGCTTTTCTGCTTCTCCCTCTGCTGTCTTTCCTTCATCACTAATGCAGAGGAGTTTGCATTTAATAAATGTGTGTGTCAGAGTAAATAAACTTAATTTCGCTATTAGCATTTAAGAGGGGGGGAAAACATTTCGGAAAGCAGAGGTCAAAGAAGATAATAAGTCTAAGAGAGCTGGTACAACAGAAAGAAACACCAATTTATTTGAGCCTCTCAGACTCTGCAACAGTAAATTAAAATAAAGCTGTTTGCCAAGGTTATCAGTGGTCTGGCTACAAATTGCAGTTGTACTGAATGTAATGTCCCGTGGGCTTGTCTCATCAGGGACGTGTGCTGGGTAAATCTCTTACTTTAAATGCCACCATTGTCCCTCTCTTGCATTTCAGGACTCCTGTGGCTGGTATGGAAACTCACATTCCTGTTATATTCCTTGATTTGAATGGTAAGTGGCTCTTAAAATGACGGAGTACTTCAAAACAAACTTTATATAACCAGTGACGTTATGGAATTTAAGCAGACTAATAAAATTAAGAGATGCCTGGCATGGCAGGTAGATTAACTGCAGAGTGCACATTTTTCACTGAAGCATATTGTTTAATGCTTCAAAACACACAGTATTTTATATGGAAGGTTTTAATAATCCCATGTTTCAGTTATCCCAGTACAAGATCCAATTTGAACAATGTATTTGCCAGATGCTTCTACCAAAAATCAGGAAATTGGAACCAAGAAAGCAGCAACCCCAAAGCAAGTCCAAGGAGCCAACAGGGCTCATGTCAAACATGTCATAATCAGTCAAACAAAACCTTGTTAGGATGTTTAAGAGAGGGTTAATACTTGGAGAAGTGTCAGGTGAGAGTGGGGAGGTGGCATTCAGCCTGTTGGGAGGAGATCTGTGCTGCAGTCTCTTGACACTGGTGGTTTGTCCACCTTGGGAAGTGCATCCACAGATCCAGTGGCTTCAGGGAGGAGCTGGTTAATAATTCATCCATGAGCAGGGACTCGAGGCAGGACGAGTTGAGCTTCTCAAACCCCAGATTTAAGGGTTTGTTTAGTCATGATCTAAAAGTGCTGTGTTTTCACTTGTTCAACCAGCAGCTTATCTTTAGTTAAAAAAAAAAATCCCACACCACCTAGTTAATGGCAAATGACCAATGTATTTAATGTGTATATATATATATATTTTTATATATATTCCTCCGGGCAAGGAAAGAATGTTTGCAACTCCTCACACAATAGAGGAGTTTAAAAGGCACATTTGAGTCTGTGTCCCCAAATCTTTGTGCACACTTTCTGTATAGAAATGAGACTCTTTTTGAAGTGGAACAATGCAGGAGCTTTTCTTTTTATAGGTGGAGTGGAAATAGCCGAGCTGGGGAGTTGGTGATGAAAATGCCAATTCGTGGCTTACCGGATGTTTTTAAAGGGGGAGAATTGCTTTGTGTCTCCTCACCTTCCACATTCCCTTCTGTTTGTAGCTGATGACTTCAGTTCCCAAGATAACCTGGATGACCCAGAAGCTGGAGGGTGGGATGCTACTCTTGTTGCAGAAGAGGAGGAGGAATTCTTTGAGCTGCAGATTGTGAAGCATCATGACAGTGAGGTAAGTGAAGAAGATACAGAGCAGTGTCTTTAGTTTAGGAGTCTTTTAATTGTTCTCTTTATACGTTCACGTGTGAAAGTATTGCAGCAAAGACCTTTCTTGTATGAGTGACTTTGTGTTTTTAGGGAGTCCTCACCATGACCGTAACCATGATTTGAAAAACAGTAAAACCCAAGCATTCCAAAAGCTTGAGATTTCATTTTGTGTTTTACAAACCAAAACCCCTGAGCAAATTAGGGTACAGGAGCCCCAGCTGGAATACCAAACAACCTTAATTGTGAACATATGTACCTCTGCATTGTTACACTCGTTGTCCTCCATTTTGCCACATAACTTGTAGTTTTACAGCTTCACAGTTGTTGGTTTAGAACTCTGATTTACTTTTTTCCCCTGAAATTTTGGTCCTTTCTCTGAAACCTACTTTTTCTTATATTTTTACAGGAGCTTTATTCCTGATGGTTTTGGTAGGGTTTTTTTATTTGTTCTGGTTTGTTTATAAAGCCTGGAAAGGTGGCTACTTGGCTGTTTTTCTTATGGCTTAAAAATAAACCACTTAAATCTTCAGTAATACATATATTTTAACATTCAGAAAGAAAAAATCCAGCTATTGCCACATTGCTAGAAATGTTTCAGCAAAGTTACTTCTCAAATACAAACAGGAGAATTTTTGTGATGTGATGGAAGGTTTTCACTGCAATCTCTGTTGCTCTCTGGCTTATCTTACTAAATTAGTTCAAATGGTCCTGCAATTCTGCATATTTTATAATTTATTTGTGATGATCCTGGGTGTTCAAAGCTCTTTTTTCAAGAGGAAATGTTCCAGAGTTTGAGCAAGTTGGCATTTTTAATCCCAACGTCTTCACTTGGCGAACTAATCTTGATTTGTAAATGGCCTCTTCTAAAGTGCAGGGGATTTTTCTTCATAGGGAGCGAAACGGAGAAGCCGGCTCTCAAAATTTATGTATTATGTATTTTTGCTAATTATGCTTAATTAATTATAGTTAATTATACACCTAATTATGCTTATTAGAGGATGCTTTTTTTTTTTTTTTTTTTTACCCCCCTTTTGCAGGTGAAAGCAGAAGCCTCCTGGGATTCCACAGTCCACGACTGTATCCAGCTCAGCAAGGGAACGGCAGCGGATGAGAGGGTTTATCTGATCGTGAGAGCCACTGTCCAGCTCAGCCACCCTGCAGAGATGCAGCTGGTGCTGCGCAAGCGCATCTGTGTCAACGTCTATGGCAGACAGGTAGAGCTTTTCCAGCCCTTCCCACTTCCCAGGACTCTCGTTTTCCTGTCTTTCCTTTCCTCTCACCACATCGACGGCGTCCGTGGAGACGCTGAGCTACCAAGTCATTTTCTTAGCATCTTTTGCATTGTGGATGATCGTGCAGCTTGCTTTTAAAGGCACCTGAGAGTGAGAAATTTGGTCACATTTGTGCTAAGTCCTAAGTGTTTTATCCCTCATCACTGGCAAAAGTAGGAAAAGTTAATTTCTCATGAGCTCAAGAGTTCGTATTTTGTCAAAACTGCATCAGAAGAAACGTGTGCTCCTGCAGCATGTTCACACATTTCTGACCATTTCTATTCGTGCATCCAGGTATTTAGAAATAAACTAGGAACAGCTGGAGGAGAGATCTCTCTGTGCTAATTTATCAAAAGTTAATCACTCTGGGTGTTTTATGTTTTCCAGTTGGTTTGTGCTCTTACAACAATGTGTAGGGGAGAGCAGGGTGTTTGATAAATGGAAAGCAGCGAGGCTGTCAGTCCGTTTGCAGCATCATGCCTTGAAAAATACATAAATCCTGGGAAAGATGGGGAAGGAGAGTTGGTTCAGCATTGTCTCAGAATCCCCTGGCAGTGATAATGACGAAGCAGAAAGCCTGAATTGTTATTCTTGTTGCACATGTATAGTTAGAATGTGAAGCAAAGAGCAAAGAGAAGAGGTGTGGTCACACCCCGAAACCCAGTAAGCAACTCCAAACTGCTCCCAGTGCTGGGAACAGAACTACAGTTCTTGGTGCTTTGACCAGGCAGAAGCTTTTTCTCAGCAAGGGAACAGTGAATTTTTGTCATCTAGAACTAGGGGAGTGTATCGAACAGATAAATTGACCGTGCCAATAATTCCGATTGTGTTAAGTCTTCATCAGTTCTGGTTTCTGCAGGTTTAGTCAATGCTGGGTTTTGCTTTCATTTGACACAGAATCTTTGGCTTTCTGGCTGTTTTTCTGAGACTCTCTGTCAATAACCTTTCCCGGGTGTTCTTCTCAGCAGCATCTTTGGATGACTCATCTCTGCATTAATTCACCAGGCCAGTTCTTAACCCTGCAAGGCGCCAAGTCAGCATAAACAATGACCATGCCCCTTAAATCATTCTTCATAACGATCTCTTTGGTCAAGAATTTAATGTCTGTACTTGTCAATATTCAAGACAAGTCACCTAGGGCTCTGTTAGAGGAAAAAAAAAAAACAACACACCTCTCAAACTAGCAGATGCTTTGTGTGCTGGTGAAGCAGTCACCTTGCAGGGGAGGAAGTGACTTTTTCCTCTGTATCTAAAATACAAACAAGCAAATTGTTTTCTCCACATTAAAAATCTTTGAATCTTACATATTTATTGGTTAGACTTTTTCCACTTGGACTTCTCCTCGTTGCAAACTGTGTTTATTTCAGCTGAAATCTGTTAAAACCGTGTTTGACTTTGGTTGCCTCCCCACAGGGCTTTGCACAGAGTTTCCTCCGAAGGATGTCTCCCCGAAGTTCCATTCCTGGCTGCGGTGTCACTTTTGAGATAGTCTCAAACATTCCAGAGGTGAATAACAAACCAGAGTGTGTGACACTGGGCTAAGAGCCTCTAACTTTCTGCTTTTCCCCTTTTTGAGCGTGCTGGCTTTTTCTGCTGCAACTGTGGCTTATAAAAAATGAAGCATATTCCTTCACAGGCTGTGACTTAGCAGCAACCTCTCTTATCAGTGTCACTGTGTATTTTGTTGACTGAGCATCTATTTGCTCAGCTCCTTGAAGAAATATTTTAAAGAGAGGGGGAGAAAAAGAGGGAGTAAAAATGGGTGGGTGAAGTGCCTGCTGTAGGGAGCACGAGAATCTGTAGAAAAATGACAAAGTGGCTTTTTCTCGCTGATGTCTTTATGCAACCCTTGATTCCTGAGCGTGTTCCTAGTTAGATGCTAATCCTTTCCTTCCAAAGAGATGCTCTATCAGAGCACTTGGAAAAACATTAACACATGAAGAGCCAAAACTCTGATTGCTGCCTGACTCTTTTATGTTCTGCTGCAATTTGCACTCTGTGTTGAAATGTTTCTCGAGCAACATTCTATTTTTTTCTTTGCAACACACTCGAAATTCTGTTTTCCTCTCAGGTTAGATAACGCCCCAAAATGCTTGAGCACTTTTTAATTAGGAAATATCTGAATGCAGCCCTTTTGCTAATTAATGGCAACGTCTCGCTGTGAGACTCAGATTAAAAAAAAAAACAAACCAAAAACTCCAACAATAACCAGGTACTGCCTGAGATGTCTGTGACAGGGGTAGGAGCAGCCATGCAGGTCCCATGGCACAAGGCTTATATTTAGATCAGAATCTTAGATTAGGTATTAGGAAGAAATTTAAATATTAGGAAGGAATTCTTTGCTGTAAGGGTGGTGAGCCAGTGGAACAGGTTATGGACTCCCCATCCCTGGAAGTGTCCAAGGCCGGGTTGGACGGGGCTTGGGGCAACCTGGGATGGTGGAAGTTGTCCCTACCCATGGCAGGGGGTGGAATGGGATGAGCTTTAAGGTCCCTTCCACCCAAACCATTCAGTGATTCAGTGATTCTAATCTGCCCCTGAGCAAGCAATGTTAAATCACTACCGCGTGATTTAAAACCATATTTTTTTCGAGACCGATGTGGGAGACTTTTTTTGTTTTTTAAGTTAAAAACTGTTGTTTCTTTTCACCTTCCCAGGATGCTCAGGGAGCTGAAGAGCGGGAGGCACTGGCCAGGATGGCAGCAAACGTGGAAGATGCAGCCTCAGCTGACTCTGAGGCCTATATTGAGAAGTACCTGCGCAGCGTCCTGGCCGTGGAGAACATCCTCACCCTGGACCGGCTGCGCCAGGTCTGCTTTGGGGCTGGAGCTGAGAAAACACTGAGAACATCTATGGCAGCACAAATGTTCTCCTAAGGGCTCCCAGTGGCCAACAAGCAACCCCAAAACCCCACTCCAGTGCACACCTCAGCCTCCCAAAGTGGGCCTGTGGCAAACAGCCAAGGAAGGAAATGTAGCCCTCTCTGCTGAGATGTCCTCACTCAACCCCCTGAAGGATGGATGGGGCTTTATATTGAATGCACTGTCACGGGATTCTTGGTTTGGTTTTCAGTCTGTGCACTGTGGTTCACAAAAAATACTTGTGTGGCATTAGTTTTTGCTTTCTGAGGTTTTGGTAGCAGTTCTGAAATTACCAGTACAATTCTTGCCATTTTTCCCCGTATTTTACCTCGAAGGAACCAAACCCATTCTGTCCCAAAGTGGCAAATATCCCAGGAAGCAGATGTAGCCCTCTCTGCAGAGATGTCCTCACTCAACCCCCTGAAGGATGGATGGGGCTTTATATTGAATGCAGTTATGGGGTGCTTGGTTTGATTTTCAGTCCGTGCACTGTGGTTCACAAAAGATAATTCTGTGGCATTAATTTTTTGCTTTCTGAGGCTTTAGTAGCAGTTCTGAAATTACCAGTACAATTCTTGCCATTTTTCCCCGTATTTTACCTCGAAGGAACCAAACCCATTCTGTCCCAAAGTGACAAATATCCCAGGAAGCAGATGTAGCCCTCTCTGCAGAGATGTCCTCACTCAACCCCCTGAAGGACGGATGGGGCTTTATATTGAATGCAGTTATGGGGTGCTTGGTTTGATTTTCAGTCTGTGCATTATGGTTCACAAAAGATAATTCTGTGGCATTAGCTTTCGCTTTCTGAGGCTTTAGCAGCAGTTCTGAAATTACCAGTAGACTTCTTGCCATTTTTCCCCGTGTTCTTCTACCTTGAAGTAACCAAACCCATTCTGTCAATAAAAAAGACATTGATTGGGTTAATTTTAAGTACTATAACTCGATCTGTTTACCAGGAAAAATACAGGAGAGAAAAACATTTATGGAAAATTGTTCTCCTGGGTATGAATTATGCAAGCACAAAAGAAAAGTTATGCAAAACAAGCTCCAGCTTGTGCCTGCCCGCTATAAATTCACGGTGAAGTGTGATGCGCTCTAAATACTGAAAGCAAGTTTCCTGTCATTTATAATTAGTTTAAAGGATTAAAATAGGAGCTCAGCTTGGAAAGGGAAGTCTGTCATCTCCTTGAATCAGGACTAGCTGTGAAATCCTGCATGGACCAATCAGCAAAATACTGGATGTTAAAGTTTAACTTTAACACTCTTTAAAATTTTAGCCACTTTCTGTACAGGTTTTGTATTACTTTACAGGCAGGAACCTGTGCAAAAAGGCAGTTTAGAAACAATTGTCTCATATAGACAAAAATATCCTTGGTGAATTAGGGCTTAAATTCTTGCAAAACGTCATCTTTTCTTTGGTTTGCTTCTCTGTGATTGGCAGGAAGTTGCTGTGAAAGAGCAGCTAATGGGAAAAGGAAAACTCTACCGCAGGAGCCTGAGCTCTCCCAACGTGAACAGGGTGAGTATTCCATGCTGGAATCTGCAGCAGCTCCACTCTTCCAGTTCTAGGTCCTTGTGATACCAAAGTCACGGAGTATAGCAATGAATTTCCTTCTTTTTGACCCTTCTGTGCTATTTCTGATTGAAATCAAAGTGCAGACAAAGCCTGCACATAATCCTGCTTTCATCATACAGGCAAGTGTGCTTGGAAGCTCCTCCCTAAATCCAGAATACCTGAAAAAGCAACATAAGAACAACATAAAAACAATCTTTTTTTCCTGAACACCAGAGATTTTTCGTTTACTTGCCAAGTTTTTGCCATTTACTCTTTTTCTCTAGAGAAGTTACAAGTATTTACTGAACTTAAAGTTTGTAATGGTGTTGTGGATAAGAAAAATGAGACTTCTGCTGTCCAAAATTTGGGAATAAGTCTGTTGATAGAACTGGTAATCAAACTAGTCTAAAATTGTGGCTCCTCCCAGGTCAATAACTGAGATTTCACCTTTTATCTCTTGGATTTCAGTTCTGCTTTAACCACAACCCTATTTCTTTTCAGCCTTATTAGTCAAGAGGAATATTTATGAGTTCTTTAAGTTCTTTTTGAGAAATAATTCGACCTCTCTCAACCGTTTCAGCTCTCTGCAAGCCGCCAAGATTTAGCACCCCCTTACAACCTGAGCAGTAACCGGGTGAGTACCTGCAGGAAATCCTGGGAATCTTCACTAGGAAAAAGGAAGTGGCTCCACTACACCAGTTACAGGGGCTTAAGTGGGAAACATCTATAAAAAACAGGGCCACATCCATGTGCTCCTGCATCCTTGGGACTGCTCCTAGGGTGTAAATAGGTCTGGATGTGCTGCACTGGACCTCTGTGGGAATTCCAATTCCCAGGTCTCTGTCATCCCGAGCACTGTTGGATGCACAAGGGCATTGTCAAGCTAAAGAGCTCTTCTAAAGCTGTCACCTCTGTGGATGAAAATCTTCTGGGTGCAAGGGGCGGATTTGGGTTCATATGTAAGTTCAGGTCAACATCTAGGACAGAATAGTCCTGCGAAGAGAATCTCTGAGCTTCCAGTGGCCTTAAACTTGTGGTGGGGTGATAATTCAGCCCATCCCACTCTGTAAAATCACCAGGATAGATCCAGAGTATTTCTTTAAAAGGTGAAAGATTAAATTTAAACTTATTTTCCAAATCCTAGATAAACTGAAAGGTCTCCTCCTGATAGATATTCTGCCCAGCAAGCTTGTAGTCATTTTAAAGGGGAGAATCTGGTGGTGACAAGGCATTTTAATGCATAATGCAGTTGCATGGAATAATAGAATTTTGATGTAGTGCTCCAGCTTTGGTTGCTAAAATCTGCTACATCTGATCCATGTAGGGAATGCTAAAACATGTGCAGGTGATAAAGTGCTCATAGCAACTTCTGTTGGGGAGACAACTGTGGGATGCTGCAATATTGCAGGTTTGGAAAGCCAAAACTTAAAGGGCAGAGTTCTTAATGATTTCTGTTTTTCTCCTCCTTTCCCCTCAATGATTTCTCTCATTGCATGTTTCAGAGTCCAAAGGTCCCAGCAGAGGTAATGCATTAGGTCCACCTAATGAGTGGGATAATAATTTTATCTCACTATAAAGTTTATTTTGCTCACTCACACGCTTCTATTTCCTGCTTTTGAAGACGCTGCTGGTGGTGCCTCGTTTGCATAGTGCACAGCAAAGGAGTTTTTCCATTGCAAAGCTGGTCATTAATGCAGAGTGAACTGGTACAAAGCAGAGAAGTTTCTCCTTGGGTGCCTCTGATGGTTTGTTACAGAGCTGGAGCTGTTTTAGTGCCATTTCTCCCAGATTTTTGGGCAGGGTGAAGTTATTTCAGAAATGGCCCCATCTCAGTTAAAAAAAAATGGACATGAAATCAAGCAAATATATAAATATCTGCCAGTCACGTGAACACTGGCCTGGAGATGAGATAAACCCTGACACTTCCTTCCAAATCCTTCTCAAGCTTTATGGCTTTTGTGTGTGAACAGCTCTTGGTTTCTATGAACTAATGATTTTAAAGTAAATACTGGGCCAGTGGAAAACATGTTTATCCTTGGTTTCATGTTAATGCTCCTGGAGCAGTGACTCTTTGTCCCAGGTTTTGGTTAAGTGCAGTTAACTGGCAGTGGTTTGCATGAGGTTTGGCAGCTCTTCCTGTGCTTGTAGGTGCTGACAGGCAGTGTTGTCCTGCAGGAACGTGGAGCTGGGGTGGTGGGGATCATTCCCTTTGCTTGCAGTGAGCTTCAGTTCAAGGCACTTGTTACTCAGGACATGGAGGGTGCAAACTCCTCAACCTGGAAATTTCTGGTTTCAAATGGATCTCTGGTTCCAAGGCCAGGTTGGACAGGGCTTGGAGCAATCTGGTGTAGCAGAAGGTGTCCCTGCCCATGGCAGGGGGGTGGAATTAGGTGGTCTTTAAGGTCCCTTCCAACCCAAACCATCCTGTGATTCAACGATCCAGTTTCCATAGGGAGATGAACAAAAGCTTTTGTAATCACAGTGAAATATTTAACAAGTTCTTGAATGTTCCTGTGGCACACAGACATCATAAAGCTCACTGGTGATATCAGTCCTGTCTGTTTTAGCATAAGGGACCTGAGAGTGGCTTGATGGGCAGAGTTTTGGCTAAGCTGGATGTCTTTGTCACTTCATGAGAGAGATGGTGAGGAAAGAAGTCTCCTCCAACATTCATGTATTGTTATTTTCCCAGGAATTTGGTGTTGTTTACAAGTAACTATGAGAAGTTAATCCAAACAAGGGATATATTATAAGAAAACACCAGTCACAGGGTAGTCCCAGCACCCAGAATTGGGTGCAGAACTAATGTGTCAAGCCTGTGTACTTAATATAAATTAATTATTTATTATTAGTGAGAACCCTCAACATATTCCAGATTATTCCTCTCCTTAACTTTTATTCCATGACTTCCTTTCTCTCTATTTTTAACACTGTTATTCCTTGTGTCCCTGCTGTCTTCACCATGGATTTTTAGCTTGGTGGAAGGGGCTCTTGAGTCTCCTTTCCTCTTACATAAAGCACCATCCATGCTGGTAAAGTTTGGAATGTGGATGCTGCTTCATTCTCCAGCCCTGTGAAGAGCCAGGACTCATCCCCCTAAATGACAAGAGTATTAAACGAGTTGGAATAAGAAGTAAAGATGGTGTTGGTGCAACTAAAACAGGCAGCTTGGAAGCTTCCAGAATTATGGCCTGGATTCCTCTTGCAGACACAATTGACTGATTTTTACTGAAAACATGGATGGATGGTCACACCTCCACGAAGAGCTGGAAAAGCCCTTCTCCAGGACTGGAACAGAGGTGTGGGTTTGGCACATTTGGGAAGCAAAACATGAAGGGAAATCTCTGTGTGCTGGCACCACAGAGAGCTTCCACTGGGATCTTTTTAAATGATATAACTCATAAAATTAAGCTGCTTAACTGGTTGAGAAGGCAAGGAGATACCTTTTAAATTCACTTCAGGAGGCAGTCTGATGGACTATTCATGTTCTGTTAACAGGACTACACGTGGTCTCACCTCTAAGTTCCATCTGCTTGCTTAAATGAGAAAAAAAGCCCATTTTTACTCCTGTTATCACCACGGATATGGTTACAGGAGAGTGAGATGAATTTGATTCCTTCTTGCACATCAGCACATGGCAGCGATGCAGGAGCACGGAGTGTCTCGGCAGCGATGTGAGATACGGAGACGAATTTCTGTGTTCCAGGGCGCTCGTGTTGGGAATCTGATTTAATTAAATTTACTTGGAAACTGAATTTAAATATTGAGTTGACTTAGCTGGATGAATCAGATGCACAAAGAATGGAAGGCACCTCTGACTTGTTTCATGAGTTGTTGTTAAAACACCTTTGCACAAAGAGCTGTTCTGTCTTGGACAGTCATCCTTCCTTACCCAAATGTCCAGTATTTGTAGCCCAAAAGCCAAATAGCACAAGATTGTGCCACTTAACCTTCAGGTTTTTCTGGGAACCAGAGTTTTTTCCAGCAAATTGATACCAGGTAGATTGGATTTGAATAATCTTGCTGTTCGTGAGAACAAGTGCCTTTTGTCCCCGCTGTGTGTCCCATCTCTGTGCTTGTATTTAAGTCATGGTCACCTTTTCCTAAGCCTTTGCTGAACTGCTTAAATAATAAAAACACAAGAACTATTCATTTCTCTTACCCAGTGGCTGCATTTTAATGGTCTGTCAACCTCAAGAAAAGATTTGTCAGGTAAAGCCTCCAGATTTCTTTAGGTAGTGATCAGCCCCGTTTGCCCTAAAGATTTTGTGCATGTTGGGGGTGACCTGGAATAAATTCCCTGGGGGTTTTCGTGGAGGATGTGTGAAAGAAGGGAAGGCAGAGGAGAGGAAGGAGAAGGTATTAGAGAAGCAAACCCCTTTATAAACAGCTCTGCTTTAAAATACATCAAAGGACACCCATTCTTCTGGTGGCTATTTTGGATTTGTTAATTTAAGTGACTCGACCTCTGTTTGGTCACTTGGCAGAGACCAAATATATTCATGAAGTGATGGCTCCTCTGGGCAAATGATTTACAAGCTTCCTTTCTTTCTCTCACCACCTTCCTTGATGGAGAAAAGATTCACAGCACTTAAATAATAGTCATTGCTTAGATTTAAAGTTTCAAGTCTTTCAGTGCAGATGGGAAACTTGGGAGCTTCATGAAGTTAATATAGTTAATAATTCTTTTTTTTTTTTTTTTTTTTTTTTTGAGATGGGTTATCTTTCAACCCAGCTTAGTAAAATCAATCATTCATGAACTACCTTTTGCCTCTGCAGATTCTTTGCACAACAGTTGACCCTTTCAGTTGTCTGATGTTTTCTTTTGCAAATGTTTCTGCATCTGTTGCCCTGATTTACCTAATTTTAATGGTTTGTTTTCATCGTGGACTTGAGCATCTCAAATCTGACCTCCAGCCTAAAATCATGATCTTTCCACTCTCTCCAAAGTGAGGGTTACTTGAACACCCAACATGTTTAAAGTATATGATCAGAGAAATCCTTTTCTCAGGGCACATTCCTGTGTCAGGGCCTTCATTTTATTCAACCTGGAAAAATACTTAAAATTACATAGAAAATGTAGTCATCCAAATGTAATCTACGGATGAAGCAAAGGCTGAAGCAGAATTTCCAAATAATCCTGAGAAAAAAGGCTTTTCCTAAGGAAAAAGTCCCTAAACATAACACTAACCACTAAACATTGCCATTCTGAAATGAAAATGTTTTACTGATTTTTACCTACTCCATTTTTTTCCTCATCATTCCCAAGCAGGGCAGAAAGTCAAGAGACTTGCCTGAACTAATTTTTCTTGGAACAGTCAGTGAAGGGCACTTCTGACTCAACAGATCATGATTCAGGAAATGATTTAGTTGCTCCTTTACCTGCCCTGAGCCCACGTTCTAGTCAGCTGGAATATTCTTTGTAATAGAATATTACATATTTTGTAATATTCTTGGTGTTTCTTGTGTCTCTGTGGTCTCCAGAAGCACTTGGACTTGGCTTAAGACGTGTCACCTTTATCTATTTGTCTGGGATCCAGAAGCAACACTAATCAAGCTTTGTTATGTCCTACAAAACCAAAGCTTTCAGGTGCTTTCCACTCTTCCATACTTCTTTTTCCTAACCCAATGCCAGCATCTACCAGGCTGGTGGCAGAGCAGACCAGAAGGCAACAAAACCAAGCAGTTATTTCAAGATTGTTTTGAGTCTTTTGAGGTTTGTTTTTGAGTCTTGTGTTTTTTATATTAAACTCCTCCAGCACTGCTGAGCTGGTGCATCCAGAAAAGAATTATATGAGATACTTTCCCGGTCTGCAGAGAGTATCAACTATTTTCTCATGGTTTTGACTCTTCTCTTGCAAACTAATTCATCAGTTTGAGCCAGAGACTCTAGGAAATATTTCACATCCCAAAGAAAAGACAGGTTGAGCACAGTCTGAAGTTGCTGGCTGTTTCCAGGATGGCTTTCAGTGTCTGCATGTGAAATTATTAAAATATCAGGATGAGAAAAGCAGCTTCTGAAGCAGTGTTTTGAATGGATGCAAGTGGGACAAGGCTGCACGTGGTGAGGCCACCTGAAAGAAGCCTGCACTCATAGAAACACGAGACTGCAAGAGCCTAGAAAGGGTTTGGGGATGAGGAGCAGGAGACAATGTTTCACAGAAGCGTTTTGTGGAGTTCTCCAGACTTTTTGATGTAAGACAGGAATGAGTTGCAGGTCAAAGACAATGCTGAAGTTGGGGGTTTAAGGTATGGGTAGAACAGCTCTGCCATCTGTTCTGATAGTCCTCAAAACCACCAGACTAAACCAAGCCCTGGTGTGTCACTGCTGCTCCCAGCCTGGGTTCTCTCACTTGGACACTCAGGATGGCTCAGAAATCAGGCATCCATCAGCCTTTGGTTATCCCAAATTTTACTGCACGGATACAGCCCCTGTCTCTGCATCCAGCAGGAGGGATGTGAGCTGGGAGAGGTCTGAAGTCTTGCCAAAGTGCAAGTTACTTGCTATTCAAAGCAGGGGAGCTTTGATGGGACTAACCTATAGATCCAAATGGAAATGATTTCTGCCCTGGGCTGCTCACTGTGACCTTCAACCCATTGGAGAAATCCATTCCCCCTATCCTGGCTTATTTATTATTTGTGAAACATTCATGGCTTGGAGTTACAGTTAAGATTAGTTTAGCTGCCTGTCATTTTTCCATTCAAGGTCAGATTCATTCCTTGCATCCAACAGTGTGAAGCTTCTTGAAAAGGCACTTGTCCTCCCCTCTTCCTCCTGGAAAAAAACATGTTAAACTTCTGACCTGGGATGCAGCAGGTCCATCCATCCCTTGCTTCTCCTTTTGAGTATGTTCACTGTACCATCTCACTGCAAAAGTATTTTTAGTTCTGTTATGTCTTTTAAAAAACAATCAAGATTTAGGTGCAGTATAACCCAGATGAGTAGAGATGTTGCACCAACCATGACAAAACTCTTGGAAAAAATGGGATAAAATCAGTTTGACTGCACCATCCTGTCCTTGCAACGTCTATTTTTTGGAAAGTTGAAGCTTTCCAAGCTTTTCCTGAGAGGACTTTCCACAAGACATTGGATTCTTTTGACCCCTGGACTCGTAAATGGATATTGAATTGCCTTAAGGTTTCCTCTAAATTAAGTAAATTAGAAGGAGCTGCTTTGGCAGGCATTGCATGTGTGCCTCCATCAGAAGTTTGCAGGAAAACCACGTGGATTTTGGTGCCTCTGCACAACTCATGTGCTCAGTTTGGTGAAGGAATTCACTGCCCTGTATCTACATGAAACTTCCAGCAGAAACACACAGTCATTGCAGGTAAATGTTACCTATTAAGGATGATAGAGCTGGGAAAACATGGATTTGCCTTTGTAAAAGCCAGAGAAATCACCCCCCATGTGCAGAATGATGTGCACCTTCTTGGGATCCATGGGAAAACCCAGCTAGAGAAGCCTGGGAAATGACCTACAGCCTCTGTTTCTCCCTTCCTCATCTCCACTCAGTCTCTTCTAGGTCTGAAATCATGTTTCATCTTCACTAACCATGTCAAAACCCTAACCTGTCTTTGCTGGATTTTTTTTTTTTTCCTGCCTTCTGGTGTCCACAGCTTGTTCCTTCATACTCCCATCTGTCTCTTTTCCAGGCTGTTAGAAAACTTGCAATTCTCCAGTTGCTTCCTCTTGATCTTGAGCTCATCCTTTCTCTGACCCCAGGCACAAACATGCAGCCTTTAGGTCTTGTATTTCTTGTCCTGTTCAGAGCTCTGTGTGTCCTCACCCCTCTCTGGCACTCCATCCAGCCCCCACTCACCAGTAGATGCACAAAATATTCAGGAATTTTGGGCAGAGGGTACTATCTTATTTTCACCTGGTTGTAACGTTCTCAACTTCCAAAACACAGCTGTGTGTGAAATGTCACAGCTTTGAGGTCTGTAAATAAACTTTTCCTGTGCCTTTTAAATGCTGAGGGTGCTCCATCTTTGCAGGGCTGGGTCTTCCACCTAAAAGGGCCTCCAGGGAAGGGTCTTTTCCTCAGCTCTGGAATTCTGACCTTTGCAGAGGGGCTGTGCAGGCTGGTGTGGGGTCTCAGCATTGCTGTGCTCTTGCTGGGGTGCCAGCTTGAGAAAAATACAACTTTTTCCCCCTCTAGGGTCGATGGGAGAGTCAGCAAGATGTGTCCCAAGGTGCCACAAGCTCCAGTAGAGGCATTAGTCCATCTCGTACCTCCCTGCCGGGCTCTGGGCAGCAAAACCACTCTCCTGATCCAGGTAAAGGAATTCCTGCAGCTAAGAGAACCTCCCCTAAAAGTGTAATGAACCTACTGCAGCTCCTGAGTGCCAGATAAAGCTGAGCTGCTCTCAGAGAGTGCTTTTCCTTGGTTAATTCTTTGACCACTGGACGATGTCATCACAGCCTAAAAAAACAACAGTGCGATAAATTCTTTTAGAGGGTTTTGGTTTATTTTTTTTTTTCCTTTCCCCAAATAATAACCATTGCAATTCTGTGATTTGATTTTCCCAGCAGGTATTGGTAGCCTGGCTGCTTCCTACCTGAATCCTGTCAAGTCCTTCGTGCCTCAGATGCCAAAGCTGCTGAAGTCTCTCTTTCCTGTTAGAGATGAGAAAAAGGGCAGGCAAACCTCTCCCCTTGCCCAGCAGGTAAAGCATTAAATCACCCAGGCTCTGCAGCAATCTTGGTGAGTGCTGTTAGACTTGCTGGCAGAGTGCTGTTTTATATGTTGTTGCAGAGCAAACCAAGCTTTTAGTCACAGCAAAGCCTCGTGATGCATTTCCCCCTCCACTTTCCAGAGATAGTGGAGCTGTTTGAACTTATTGATACTCTCAGCCCACTTGGCTTTTTACAAGTGCCAGCTCCACTCCCAGGGTGATTTATGGGGCTCCCACTCGCAGCAACAATAGTAAAATTTATGAAGTGCACTTAGTGTTGTTTGGGTATTGCCAAGAGGGAAATGTAATTCTATTTTTGATTCCTTATTTCATGTGCCCTTCCCTCCCACCCCTTGCCCCAGCTCGTGTCACCTTTTACCATCTTCTGCTCTGTACTTTGGGCAGTTGCTTTTGTTCATTCTTATCTGTTCCACGTGTCAGGGAAATACTTGATTTCCTTATTTTTTTGGATGTTGGGCAGCAAAGCTCCACCTGCTCCAGATGAGGCTTCTGTGCTCTGAGTTAATGCATGGTCAAGCTGACTGAAAAAAACCTCCTGTCTTTTAAAAAAACCATCAGAATCCCACTATAAATAATATTATCTCCTTTATTGACAAGGTTCTGGTTTATTTATAAAGGAATAGTTCTCTTTAGTGTAGCTCTGGAAGGTTTAACAGAGTGTTGTGAAGGTAAATCTGGAGCCAAATCTTGTGTTAAAAGTTTTTGGGGGTCCTTTCTGTCCCTGCTTTCACCACCCAAGTCATTCTGCTGTCAACTTGTCTGGAGTTCTGGAGGCTCATAACTTGTTAACTTAGACCTCTCCTCACCCCTTGCCATGCAGGCAAATGTTTTAAACAGTATTTTTCTCAAAACAAAGCCTGAAATCCTCAAAAAACCCTCTTTTTTTTGTGGTTGGATCGAGGCATTCTGTTGAATTTTTGCTGCAGCTAAACTTGCTGTTACAAGAACATCCCAGGACTGCAGGAAGTTGTTTTGGCACCATAAAAGCACAGTACATATCAAGTAAATACAGCAAAAATAAATCCACTAGCACTTGAGTATTTTTAGAAGTAACTTATTACACGTGTAGCACAAATAAGAACAAGGCAGATTTAAAATATTTTTGGTTTGAGTGGGGATTTGTTCTCTACAGAGTAACAAAAGGAGCAAATGTTATTTATCTAATTTAATGCTTTGCATTCTCACGTCGCCTTTTGCTTGGTGTTGAGACTGGAGTCATATAAAACCTACTCGTTTATGAAATGTAGGGAATTAAAATGAAGACAGTGGCTTTCTTTAAAGGTATTTGGGTATCAAAAGATGCAAATAGATGCTCTTTACAATTGCAGTGAGAGCCTTTCACACCTTCTTGAATTCCTACTGAATCAATGAGAGCTGAGATGAGAAATGAGGCCTAATTTCCTGTCTCTAGTCTAACCACCTGTTCCCACTCCTTTACTGTTCAAGATCAGCCTTGTCTTATTTGTCTGGAAGTCACTTTTTAAACTACAGAGACATCTCTTTAAAGAGATTTTAATTTCTGTTATGGATTACTAAGGAAAGTCAATCAGATTGTGATCTCTAACATTTTTAACAGTAGGGAAAATGCTATAAATGCTCTAGTTTTTAAAAAATTAAAGCTGATCTGTAAAGAGGAGTGTGATGCTTTAATGCTTGGTTGCACTGGGGAGCAACCCAGGTTTTTCCATGGCCACTGGATCTGTATAACATAATTAAATGGTGAAGTTATTCTCTGGTTTTGTAATAAAACAAATCAGTTGTGTTACAAATGCAGCGGTTTGAGAGGTCTCTACCTGTTCTTTGGAGCTCTATCAGTAAGGAAACATGGTTTCTTTGCTCTTTGTTAGAAATCCCAGTGAGTCACTGAATATGCTGAGTTGGAAAAGACCCACAAGCATCAAAGTCCAGCTCCTGGCTCTGCACAGACGCCCCAAAATCCCACCCTGTCCCTGGAAGTGTTGTCCAAACACACCTTGAGCTCTGGCAGGTGCTGTGACCGCTACCCTGGGGAGCCTGTTCAGTGCCCAACCACCCTCTGGGGGAAGAATATTCCCCTAATCCCCACCTAAGGAAAGAAGAGAGAGCAAAATCTGAAGGAACTGCCCCAGAATTAGCCAAGAATTCGTGCAGCACAAAAATAAAGAGATGCTGTTGCGGCAGGGCCGGCTCGAAGATCTCAAATGTCCCCTCTCATAACCTTTCTTGCTTTGCCTTTCTAATGGCCTGAGGATGCAAATGTGGCCAGAGGAATTGAGCTGGAGGTGGTGATGGATGGCTGTGCTACCTGGGGGGACGTGGGGGCTCTGGGAGGGGTCACTGCTGGGCAAGGCAGAGTTAACACCTCATCGCTTACCTGCCAGCCGGGAATTCCTGGGGAACTGCAGGAAACTGTGCCACGGGGAGGACACAAAAATGATCTTTCTGGGTCTCAGAGAATACAGAACAGGGCATCTTGTGCTGTGGAAGGATAAAACTTCAATGCACGGTGGCAGGGGTCATAAATGAATGTGCAAGGTGGGAGTAGGTGAGCGATAAACTACGAAAGTATAACGGGAAGGAGAACTCAAAAGGATTTTTCAGCTTTAACTGCAAAGGAATCTGACCCCTGGTTGGGAAGGGGTGGAGTTTTCTTGCTGTAAACAACAAATTGGGAGAGGAAGGTTCAGGAATAGAAATGACAGAGCAAATGGAAGGATCTAAATCATCCTTTCCTGGCTGAAAGCTGAGATCTGGGGGGAGGTTTAGGGTTGGATATCAGGGAAAAGTTTTTCACCCAGGGGGTGGTTGGGCCCTGGAACAGGATCCCCAGGGCAGTGGTCACAGCCCCAAACCTACTAGAACTCAAGGAGTGTTTGGACAACTCTCTCAGGGACAGGGAGGGATTGTTGGAGTGTCTTGTGCAGGGCCAGGAGCTGGACTGGATGATCCTTGTGGGTCCCTTCCATCCCAGGATATTCCCTGATTCTATGAAAAGCAAAAGAGCTGATATGTAACAACAGGTTTTTGAACATAAATACCGAAAATCTAAGTGGATCCATTTACTGCTTTCCCCTGATTCATCAAACAACTACAGTGAAAGAGAATGTCCAAAGTTCTTGTCAAGCTCCCTTTTCAGTGCATGTCTTGATACGTTATTTGATGGTACTTAATTATCTAATGTCATTTAAACCTGTTCTGGAAAAATGCTGGTGAACCATCGTGAACTGGCTGGCCCCGATGTTAAATTAAATTTCCAATATGTTATAGTTGAATTATCAGGGTTAGGTGGCTGCACAGCTCTGCAGAAAGCCTCAGATGTGTTTTGGTGCTCCTTGTGAGCAGGATCTTATGGCTAAGGTGATTTGAGTGCTTCTGAGCAGCATTTCCCAGGGAGCAGGACTTCACCTTTTCCAGGTTTATAACTGACGTTCATCATGACCCAGTGACATTCCAAGTGGATGTGGTGCCAGATCTCTGATTCTGTTCTGATCAGTTGTTGAGAAAATACCCTTTTTTATTATTTTATTATTTTATTTTTATTAGTTTAGCTGCTTTTTATTTCAGTTGTGCCACTGCTCAGACTGGCATCAACCTTGAAGCGAGCGAGCACACACAGAATTTTCTTCACAAAATGATCTTTCCTGGTGCTGTTTTTGTTTGTAGTGGTTGCTTCAGTTTAAAAAAAAAGCAGAGGAAATAGAAAATACCCTTTTTATTCTTTTTATTAGTTTAGCTGCTTTTTATTTCAGTTGTGCCACTGCTCAGACTGGCATCAACCTTGAAGCGAGCGAGCACACACGGAATTACCTCCACAAAATGATCTTTCCTGGTGCTGTTTTTGTTTGTGGTTGTTGCTTCAGTTTAAAAAAAAAAAAAAGAAAAGCAGAGACATTCCAGTCAAGGTGGTGGCAGTGAACAAAATTGCTGTCTTTGACCTTCTGAAGCAAGTTTAGTAACTAATCTGGAGAATAATGAACTGCAATTAATGAAATCTGCTCTCGTATTCAAGTGTGTTTCTCAGACAGCACATAAAATAATTGAAAGAACTTCCTGCTCTCTAATTAGTTAGATTGAATTAATTTGGCATAATAGGATTCTTTATGTAACTGGCAGAACGGCTTCCGATGAAGCTGTTTATGTACCTAAAAGATTGGTTTCTGATGAAGCTGTTTATATACTTTAAAGTTAGAAAATGCCTATTTTCTCCCTTATCTGATGCCTTTAAATTAATTACCAATAGTCTGTAAATTAAAAAAAAACAAAAATAAAAAACCACAAATATTTAAACCTTTTTCCATGGCTGGAATTGCTTTTTGTTTCCCAACCTGTTCTTTAAAAAGCTCACACAGAGCCTTCTGACCCTCACTGCTGATGGGGAGGAGTGTCAAATACTTGTGTAAAATATGCAGGTGGATGGAGGATCAGAGCTTCACCTCTCTATGCTTAATTGTATGATGTAGGAACTGAAACTCCTTTTTTTTTATTGGCATGCTGAGGCTTTCCTGGTGTGCACCAAGCAGAATTCCTGGTCTTTCCCTCATGACCCCGTTGATCTCCAGGAACTGCCTGTGTAATTACACATTACATGAAAAATGTAATTTTAAAATTCAGATTCAATTCAGCTCCTGGATTTTGACACTGCCGTGGCAGGAGCCAAGTCCTGGGAGCAGTTTGGTGAGTGGATTTCGGTCTCCTTCGTACTCAAGAACCGTGTTGGATGCTCAGATGCCTTTCTGTTGGCACGTGGCTTGAAAGGAGAGATCTTAAATCACAAAACAGGATAATAAACTCCTTGAATATCCATGTGCTAAATGTAATTCATTTTTGTTTCGTGGTGGAGAAATGTGGTGTAGACACAGGGAGAGAGAGGGCAGCTGTCAGTTCTTTCTCTTTTCACCTTCTCACGCACAGCCACAGTAATTAATCTTAAAAACTAATGAAATGCAGTTAATGAAAAGCTTTCTAAATAGACAAAACCCCTTTTCTGGCAG